TGCCTAGGCATAGGCCGGGTTTGTGTTTCTCTGCTGGCTTTTGCACACACGGCCGGCAGCCTGTTTTTATTGAATCTTGGGAAAACGTGCTCCGGGGGTTGTTTGGGTTCTGGGTTTGAGATTCACCCCGTTCAGGGTTCAGGGCACCCGAACCCAAACCGAGCCCTCCCTTCCCCCCCCCCCCCGCTAAGCCTCCCGAAAGACCCTTGAAGCCCACACCGGGGTGTGGGGTTTGAGAGTCACCCCGTTCAGGGTTCCCGAACCGAGCCCTCCCTTCCCCTAAGCCTCCCGAAAGACCCTTGAAGCCCACACCACCCCGAGCCGTGCCTCTCTGCCCCTCCTTGCCACCCTTGCTTTGGTCAGGCCTCGGTGCAACCTACTTCGACTCCGGCCTGGACCTTGGACTTGGCATGCGCTTCGTCGTTCCGTGTTGCTCCTCTTCATGGTTGCTGCGTTCCGTGCTTCCCGCCAGGCTCCGCTTCCCATTCCCGATGGTGCTGTCAGACACTTGGAATGCCTGGGTTTGAGTACTTCGGGACTTTGGCAGCTTTTGCTCGCATGGAGGTCGCAACATCCACGACTCCTCCGACATTGGCCGAGCCTGCTACTGCCTCGGATCGGTGTTGTGTGACCCACGATGGACTGCACTCTCGCTCGCCTGCCGCTCTTCCCTGTGCTCAGGCTGATGCCCCGGTTCCCGATGATAAGGTTGGGCATTGGCTTTAGGAGGTTCCTGCTGGTGCGGTTGTTTACTTTTGTCGCCTTGTAGGCGACATCTGGGCAAGCGACGTCGCCTCGTGGACCAGGTGCTCACTTCCTGTGTTGCTTGGGTTCTTCTATGTTCTTCTCATTGCTGTTGCTTCAGCCTGGGCCAGTGCACAGCTCACAAGTGTCAGTCACGGAGATATACGGAGATCTTGGCTCGAGCACCTGTAAAGGGCGTCGCGAAGTGCCATTGGTGATGGCGGAAGCGTGGATCTGGCTTGTGAAGGTCAGAATAAAGGCTGGTGACGAGCCGAGGATCGACTCTTTTGGCAGTCAGATCAACCAGAGCTTGGAGGGCATCCGAGTACCCATGAGCCCGAAACGTCGGGCGATCAAGGTTCCGAGGTTCTCGGGCGAGCTGCATGGTGACCTGGAGGTCGTCCGGGATGGAGTTCTGGAGTGCTACCAAGGATGGGGAGGTGAGCGCACGCTGCAGGATGTGTTGAATGAGGCCGCCAGCACGTGCTCCTCGAGCCGTGGGTTCTATCTGGGCTGGGAGATTGAAGGCATCACGGTGAGGCTTCGCTCGGCTGGGTTCCGTCGCAGATTCGAGACGACACTGGAGCAGCATGCAGTTCGTCGCATGCAGCTATGCTGGGCTCGCCGCGGCAAGTTCATGAAGAAGTGCATGGCCAAGCGGAGGGTGCAGAAGGAGCTTCGTCTGAGAGGGTTGTAGGGGCACAACACAACACGACACCACACAGCATCACACAGCATCACACAGCATCACACAGCACAACACGACAACGCACAGCACAGCACAGCAGAACAGCCCACAGCCACACGACATCAGCAAGCGAGTTTCACCTTGCCTTTCGCGGACGTACCAGAGGGGTGGCTTTCGCATGTGCAAATATGGTCGGCTGTGTGCATCTTTGTCTGGGTATGCCTGCACACGTTTTCCACTGACACGTCCGTGCTGACTCGTGGGCAGGTGCGGGCTCCATGCCACCATCGGCCGAGGTTGGGCTTGCCGGACTCCTTGGTAGCTCCACGGTTGCTTACACCAGGTAGCTATCTTCTGTTGCAGGGACAACCACTTGCTCATGTCGCCGATCTTGGTCCTCCGACTGCTTGGCACTCAGCATGATTATGCTCCGACTTCTGTTGTGGCGCGCCTTGCTGCTGCTCAGCTTCTGCTCATGGATCAGAGTCTTGAACAAGAGCAAAATTTGAAGCTTGCGGTGTCTGTGCAGGACGGGATTCGGGCTAGGCCGTTGTTTCAGTCGTGCCACCGCTGCATCAAGCTAAGGCCGAGCCACTGCCGACCCAAGTTGCGGGAGCCTCGACTCGTCGGCTGTGGCGAGGGGCTTGGTTGCTTGTTCCATTGGCTGGATGATCAGGGCGGTCCGGAAGCTTCGGCGGTCGCGGCCTTGACCGGGGTCTGCTCTCGCGTGCCCCTTTGCACCTCTGGTGTGTCTTGCTAGGCCTTGGGACTTGCATCACCTGATGGCCGTCTGGCGCCGGTGGCCTGGGCCTTGGACTTGGTGTGCTGTATTTGCTCTTGCTCGGCGGTTGTGCTTTCGCTCTCCTGGCTTTGGGTTGATGGCGAGATCCCAGGATTCTTTTGGCTCGAGAGGCTTTCTCCTCGGTGTTACGTTCTTTTCGTCGTGCAATGGACGGCAAGGAGCAGAAGGAGGAGCTGCCAGAGGGGATTTACACGTGGAGCCCAGTGCTCAACCTGACACCTAGCCCTCCCAGAATCAGCACTCCGGAAATCAATCGCGATGAACCACTACCTGACGGAATCTACACCTGGTCTCCGCTTCTGTTGGATTCGAAGAGGCACAGTCAGAGCAAAGGGCCCCCGCTGGGCGAGTCTCCAATCAGGCGACCCATGATGACGGAGGCAGGCAACGTGGGCGTGTCAACTCCCATTCGCAGAAAGCGAACAGCTTATCCAAGAACTCCTGCTGCAGCGAAGAAGCCACGGATTTCCAGGAGCATGAGTCCTCAGTCCGCGAACAACACAGAGCCGAAGGATGTGTCCCACAGCATCGTCAAGCAGGATGAGGCCGCGAACAGCACGAAGCCGAAGGATCTTGCAGCGACGATGTGAAACTTTTGGGTACGGCATCGCGATGGAAACAGGGGATCGCGTGATCGCGTATGGCATCGCGGTGGGCAAGAAAAGAAAGCACACTGCATGGGTTCGCGCTGCTGCTGGTCACCTTTGTCATGCCTTTGTTGTTCCGCTCTGCTTTCTTGATTCAGGTTCGCACTCCTGTGCACTTGAAGCGCGAGCACCAGGCTGGCAGTCACCACAGCGGGACGGTTTCCACGCCAACGGTGTATCCGCATGATCCATGGGGCCAGGCCTCCGAGAATCGCGGCCAAGCACCCTATTCGACAGAGCAGCGAACAGAGATGTTCAAGAAGGACTGCAGTTATGCTGGAGATGTGCAGCATTTCTGGCAGATTGTACAAAAGCCGGGAAAATGAAATTATGGGGGGGGTCTGGCCGCCCACCCTCGAGACGTTCCTCGCTTCGGGGACCTACCCCCCTGGCCCATTTCATTTTACGGCTCCCGGGCGGGGTTTCGTGGGGATGTTCTGGGTTCGCCTTGGGTTGCGGGGACATAGCCGGGAAAATGAAACCCTGGGGGGGGGTCGGGCTGCCCATCCTCGAGACGTTGCTCGCTTCGGGGACCTACCCCCCCGGCCCATTTCATTTTACGGCTCCCGGGCGGGCTTCCTGGTAATGCTCGGGCTTGCTCGGTGGCTTTCCGAGGGTGCATCTCTGAATGCCTCTGAGTTCGTCCTGGCATGCCTTGGGATGCTTTGGGGTTGCTGGGACATAGCCGGGAAAATGAAATTATGGGGGGGGTCTGGCCGCCCACCCTCGAGACGTTCCTCACTTCGAGGACCTACCCCCCTGGCCCATTTCATTTTACGGCTCCCGGGCGGGGTTTCCTGGGGATGTTCTGGGTTCGCCTTGGGTTGCGGGGACATAGCCGGGAAAATGAAACCCTGGGGGGGGTCGGGCTGCCCATCCTCGAGACGTTGCTCGCTTCGGGGACCTACCCCCCCGGCCCATTTCATTTTACGGCTCCCCACCCGGCTTCCTGGTAATGCTCGGGCTTGCTCGGTGGCTTTCCGAGGGTGCATCTCTGAATGCCTCTGAGTTCGCCCTGGCATGCCTTGGGATGCTTTGGGGTTGCTGGGACATAGCCGGGAAAATGAAATTATGGGGGGGGTCTGGCCGCCCACCCTCGAGACGTTCCTCGCTTCGGGGACCTACCCCCCTGGCCCATTTCATTTTACGGCTCCCGGGCGGGGTTTCCTGGGGATGTTCTGGGTTCGCCTTGGGTTGCGGGGACATAGCCGGGAAAATGAAACCCTGGGGGGGGTCGGGCTGCCCATCCTCGAGACGTTCCTCGCTTCGGGGACCTACCCCCCCGGCCCATTTCATTTTACGGCTCCCGGGCGGGCTTCCTGGACATGCTCGGGCTTGGTTGGCAGCTTTCTTGGGTTTGGGAAATATCGCCGCCACCATGCTGTGCTGCAGGAGAACCCCGCTGCCGCGGACGAGGGAAGCTCTGCTGGGGACTCGAAACATGTGGATGCCGAGCTCTGTCTGGATACACCCCTGTCACTTCCACGTCGTTGCATTGTCTAAGGGGCAAGCTGGAATCGCCCCGCACGGTGTCGCTGCCTGGGCCTAAAGCCGTTGTGCTGGAAGTCGCTGGCCAGGTGTGTTCCCTGTGTCATGCTTCAAGGTCACAGCCTCGGTCAAAAGACTACCAGCTCGTGACATCTGCCTGGACCTTGAGCGGAGACTGCTAGCTCCTTGGCCGTGGGCAGCGCCTTCAGTCGGACAATTGAATTCCTACGCGACCCTGCTTCACCTGGTCATTCGGACCAGCAAGGAGGTCTTCGGGCAGGTCTGGCCCCAACATGTGATTGTGACTGACACAAGTACCGAGCAGCGGCATAGGCAAGTTGCCTTACACCCCAGCTCGGACCTCCTGCTCGGCATCACCTCAACCCCTGGGCACTTCGGGTGTGTGATCCTTCGGCGCGGGTGTTCGGACGCCCTACATTTCGACTTTGGCATTCAGGGGGAGCAGTTGAAAGCAGAGACCGAGGCGTTCCTAAGGGCGTTGGGCGATGATGCGTCGGGCTGGACACAGCGCGGCGACTTCAGGGTCATCCAGCCGAGTCTCTTCCGACAGCGCGACTCATGGTCCTGCGGGATCCTTGTTGCCCTCGCATGGCGCCACACCATCGAAGCCATGGAAGTGCCAGGCTCCACCTGGCCGCCACCGTTCCCGGACACAATCTTCTCCGATGAGCAGGTTGCCTCGATGTGTAAGGAGGCAGCCCCTAGCACTCCGAGAACTGTGAAGACCGAGAAGAGACGGGACAGACCCAGCCCGGAGTCCGCCGAGAAGCCCGCTCGCAGCCGCTTGAAGCAGGAGCCAGACCCGCACGTTTCCTCCGAGAGCGACGAGGACCTCTTGAGGGTGGAGGCCATGGAATCCGACATGGTGGCAGCCGCAGCAGACAGCAGGAGCAAGCGGCCGAAGGTGCAGGCCGACTCGAAGCAAGTTCGCAAGGCTGCGAAGAAAAAGGAGCTGCAGAAGCGAGGAGCTCAACAAGCAGCAGCGGCAGGAGTCTCCTACAACGGTGCATTTCAGAGCATCCATGCAAAGCTGAAGTGTGCGAACACACCTGGCCACTGGCAAGAGTTTTGCAAGCAGCTGGCCAGCAACGGAACCCTGAAATGCGCCGCCTGCAGAGACCTGCGGAACAGGGTGCTGGAGGGATCCGAGGCTCTGGTGCCGGCACCGGCTGCTGAACCTTCTGACATGGATGCTGCTGCTAAGGCCCCGCCACGTATCCCCGCCGGGAAGGGGAGACCGAGCAGCAAGGACGAGGTCGCGACCTTGGCGACATGGGTGGGGCTGCATCGTCGCGGCATCTACACACCTGTGCTGGGAGGCGGAGGAGAAAGGTGGATGTGCCAACTCTGCCAATGCGAGGTGAACTGCTACCGGCCCTCCTACAGCGGCCACAAACGTTTGCTCAAGCACGAGGAGTCAAACCGGAGCAGGCACATCGCCAACGAGGACGCCAGCACTCCATGCCCGGGTGTGCTTCTGGGCACTGGCACGGGCCTTGACTTCATCCAGCAGTCCGTGAAGGAGTACGTGGCCAGCGGTTGCTTGCAGTGCAAGGGTGAGTTCAAAGGCTGCACCTTCGCCTTCAAGGAAGAGACGGTGGTGCTCAAGCATGAGGATTGTCCCGGCCGACATACAGGGGGCGATCCCTGCCCAATGTGCCTCAAGCTCGGCAACACGAAGGAGGTGCACGAGCACATCTGCCTATGGTCCTGGCGCCTGCAAATGGTCGCTTATGCCAAGAAGCTGTCTCTGGCACCAGCGCAGGAGGCCCAGTGCATGTTGGAAGAGATGTGGGATAGAGACTTCGCCCAGATGAAGATGGCCAGGAACGAAATGGAGCAGATTCTGCCCCTGCCGGCACGAAGCCAGTTCATGGTCATCAAGAGGAAGCTGGAGGCCATCCCGGCCTACAGACGGACGGATCGCCTGCATGCCTGGATCCTGGGGGTGCTGCAGGCTCTGCCGAGCCAGGATGCCTACTCCGACGACGAGAAGGTACTCTATCAGCAGCTTTCCCAGGGCTTCGTGGAGGCACTGCACGAAGGCCGAGTCAGAGACGACGACTTGAGACTCGCGGCCAAGGTCGCCTCTGGAAAGCTGGCCGGCCACACAGCCATTGCCTACCTCTTTCATGCATTCTTCGATATGGAGGCCAAGAAAGCCAGAGGCCTGGAACGAGTGCGATGCACTCCGAAGGAGGACTCCGCCATTCGCCATCATTCGCCTATAGTCGTGTAAGAGCCGCTAGTCACTCCAGTCCTGTAGGATCGTATGTTGTGCTTGCTTGACCCGTCAGGAGACAGCGCAGGAGCTCATATGGCTTCTGGGGAGTGGCTCCGGCGCCAGAGATGCTGTCAAGTTGTTTGGCGTCAACTTGCCGAAGCAGACAGCCTTGAACTTCGAGAGCAGCCTCGTCCCGAAGCCCTTCCTGGCGATCCGCCATAGCCAGCAGCTTGACGCCAGTGTGCGACTCGTCCGAGACAGACTAGGCATCCCGAGGACTCGCTCGTGGTTCGTGGCTTTGGACGAGACATATTGGAGAGAGAGCTACGAACAAGTCTCGGGCCTTCTTAGGTCCGAAGAAGGGCTCCCAGTGGTCGTCGGAGGTGGCTTCCATGAGGAGCCCGAGCATTGCTTCGCCGAGCTGCCGGCCAACAACCTTCGTAACCTGCCGCAAAGCAAGCTCGCTAAGATGACCGTGCATGCAATCGTGTGCCGAAGCGACGGCCACAAGGAGGCGTGGGACGTCTCCATGACTCCGATGCTGCCTGGACCTAGCTCCTCCTCTGGCGACAAGGCTGAGCTGTTCGTGACGGTGCTGGGCCAAACTCTGCAAGCCATGACAGAGGCAGCAGGTCTGCCTCCCTTCGGCTTTGCTGTGGACGGGGGAAGCTCGAACTACCTCGCCAGGAAACTGGCCATGGGATTGGAGCCTCTGGAAAGGCATGCCACCAAGCCCTTCTTCAAAGACTGTGTTCATGAACCTGTTCGGCTTGGACCCTTCTTCCCCTTCAGCCGCCTGGTGCACAGTCCAAGTGGCGAGACCATATTGGCTTCCTTAGATGCCCTGCACGTGGCCAAGCGATTGTCGTGTCATCATCAGTCAGCGAGTCGGACTCCCTGCTGGGGTGCTTCGCATTGCGACTTGACCACCGCGCTCCAAGCCGGGCTCCCCCATCGAGCTTACATCGTGCACGACGACATGTCCGATCTTCAGGCCGCCCAGCGAGCAAACCCGGCCCACTTGAAGAGTCGTTGGTCGACGTTCGGGCACCATGGCTTCGCCCTCGTGTTCGCACTCCTGATGTGGGGCACCGAGTCGGGAGGACAGCTTTCGGCCCGCAGTCGGTTCAAAGCGCTGGTGACTTGCTACTTTCTAGTCATGATGAACCTTCAGCACACCCAGCTCATCTATGGGGAGAGATACCTCGAGTACTCCCTGCCACGCCAGACACTGCGGAACCTGCTCCATCTTTGCTACCTGGGCATTTTAACCACCTTGTATCCTGGTGAGAAAAACCGGGATTCGCTCCGCAGCAACTGCTTTCAAGAGAAAGTGGCAGAACACCACTTTGGAAAGCTGAAGTCGTTTTTCCGAGGAAATGCCTCGGTGGCCCAAGCTCTGTGGGCGACGCAGCGCTGCCACTTCGAACAACTTCGTTCAGACTTCCTTCTGCCCGAGCCGTTCTGGAGCAAGGTGGAGATGAGTGATGCCAAAGGCCTCGTGGAGGAGTGCTTCTCGGAGGCAGCGTGCACCCTGTCCTGGATGGTCGTGGGCCGTGCTCCGGACAAGATCGAAGACGACTTCAAGCCATGGTTCAAATCGACCGGCAAAACCTTGCTGACTCAAGGTCTCGAGGAGAACGATGCCCAGGAGTTCACCGACTTCCCCGAGGGCTACATCGAGGATTGCGAGGAGGACGAGCCGGGCCAGGAACATGCCCTGCTGGAGAGTGTCGAGGATATCGGGTGGGTAGATTCTGAGGTTATAGTGGGGTGCTGATTTCAAGTCCAGTTCAGGGGTCTGCTCAAAATGGTCAGGACCATGTGGCGAACAAGCAGGCACTGGAACAGCTCCTTCACGGACAAGCTCCGCCGGAGGTTGCCGGCGGCGGAGCTTTGGTGGCCGAGCCTGAAGCCAAGGCTGCAGAGAAGCCGGAGTCTGCAGTTCCAACCCCTGCACCAGACGGAGCAGTGGTGGCTCAGCCTGAAGCCGAGGGTGCAGAGAAGCTTGAGTCTGCGGTTCCCACACCTGCACCAGACAGGGCAGTGGTGTCCGCCGAGATCCACGAAGTCAGGACATGGAGCGATTTGCTGGGGCTCCTGAAGAATCTGCCTGAGTTCGACATGACGAAAGACACTTCAACGGTTCTCAGTGCTTGCCTCACCAGGCAAGCCATGATGATGCCCAGAATCCGAGCACTGGCAGCTGCATCGGCACTGCACGGCTCTGTGCTGAGCAAGGCGTCCATCAAGGGCACAGGTCATCAATGCCAAAGCGACTGGCATGCTTTAGTACACGAGCTGTCGCTAGCCAGAGCAGCGACTATGAGCGATGGCCGCAGACAGAGCCGGGCTGCTGGTTGGATGGCGGTTCAAGACGCCTGTCAAACGGCCGCGGGCAACGAGGCTGGCATTGCAGGCGAATTACTCGTGAAGACCACTCACTTCCGGCCGCTCACAAACGAAGAAAACCCGCAAGTGCTTCTCTACTTGGGCGGGGATGCAGAGGTTCACATCGGTGTCACCGCGACGGTCTACCGAGGGGCATTGCTGAAGAGTACGGCAGCTTCGGGATCCAGGCGTATGAGGGTTACGAAGCCCGCCGTGCACAGCCTTCCAGTGAGCTCATGTGCCCGACTGCGAGTCTTCCGAGCTCAGACCGTTGCGGGGAATGCAAGGCAGTACGCAGTCTGCTCAACCTCGACTGCGGAGCTCCTGGACCCGCTAGGAACTGTGTTAGGGCAGCTGACGCCAACGAGCATTGCATTCGACGGGTTCATGGATGCGGCCCTTCTGGTGATCCGTTTCTCCGAGAAGCAGGTGGCTTGCATCAGCCAGGTAGGTGCTCAGCCCAACTTGTTCGTTGCAAAGGATGTTGGCGAGATCCCGGTGCCGGAGGTGAAGCATACCATTTACAGCCACAGGGACTTCAAGCCAGGGGTGAAGGGGGCCGAGAACATCGTCAAGTACATGTCAGATCTTCCGAGTGTTTTTGAGAAGCGGGGGCTCAAGTTTCTGGAGCAGGGATGCATCCGCATCGGCGCGAGTCAGGTCCGCTGGGACGAGCTGATTCAACAGGTGCCAGACTACTTCGATGTCGTGGGCGTCGGCTGTTCATCCAAGGAGAGCTATGGCAGGCTAGTTCTCACGAGATTTCTGCAGTTCACCGCGGATGCAGATGGCCTGCAAAAGCTCCGGAAGTTCGTCGCAGAGGTGCGGGAAAAGGCTGCACCAGTGCCCCGTGCTCAGCGGTGCTCCGCCATGTCGTCGTGCATCCCCGCTGAAGTCCCGTTCTTAGGTTGCACCTAGAATCCTGATGGACGGCCTGTGGTGCAAGAATTGCGGCGGCCGCTGGAATCTCAGTATGCGATCGTGCATCCGGCTCTTCCGTCAACCCTCATAGCCCTACTGTCTCTAAAGGCTGTGCTTTCTTTCTCCTCAAGGAGACGCTGCTGCAGTGGCGGGGGTCTCGGCATGCGATTGTGCACTGGGTTGGTTTGCACTCCTGCAAGCTCGAGGCCCGTGCGGCGAGATGCTCGCCAATACGGCGGCAGAGTCTGGCTCGCGAATGCGAGCAAAAAAAAACAGCGAGATGGTCTGCCGAGTGCGTGTTAGCTGCCGTGTGTTGCACATGTGGGCATGTTGTCATGTGTAGGGACGTCCGAAATGAAATATTTCATTTTCGACCCCCCCCCCAGACAAGAAGTGGGGGATAAAATTATAGGAATAACCCAACTGACGCCACAAATCTCCTCCCCAGAGCTGATCGCAATGTCTTGCCAATCTGTAGCGTTAACAGGTCATGACAAAGAATGGTCCCGACTACGAGGCCGCCGTGCAGCTCAACGAATTCCGAGATCAGGAGGAAGCCAAAGTTCGAGCCCATTATCTGGACTGGGACCGGCACATCTATAATCCAATTGCAACGCAGGCTTTCCGACATCTCAACCCTCGGGTTGAGAAACGCGTGTGCTTCAACCTGGATTCGCCGTTCCATCTTGCGGTAGATGCTTCCAAGGATCCTGCGAAGCGACAGCTGCTGCAGAATCATCGCGAACGGAGCTTCCAGAAAGAGTGCCAGGAGCTTCTCAGTTCTGCGCCCATAATTCCGGACCCTGTGGATAAGAGGAGAGCATTGGGTTCCGACTGTTTGCCCAAGTCGGTTAGCCGAGCCATCTTGGAGCCTGACGTATGGGGGCACTATGCCACTTCGGTCTTTGGCCACTTTATCGAGACCTGTGATCCCCGAGGAACCTGCAGGAGAATGAAATTCGGTGGACCGAACCGGCACATTCCCGATGAGACAGATAGTGCTGCCGCAGGCACCCGCGTCAGTCGCGCTCGCGGTTTCGGAGACAAAGGCGTGCTTCGCGATGAGGTCGCCATGGGTGAGACACGCGATTTCCGCGATGGCAGTGGTGCTGGCAGTGCTGCCCCAGCCCAGGACCACTTTGGCTTCCAGAGTGGGAAAGCAATTGTCGACTTAGAGTTCCCTCCAGGAAAGAAAACCTTTCCGGAGATGCGTCAGTACTATTAGGATGCATGCATTTTAATCCGCTGGTGTTCGAAATCTTGCACAGAGATTTATGTTCGTCGCGCTCTAAGCGTCTGACCGTAGCTAGGACACCCAGGCGCATTGCAAACATCGCAATGGGCCCAGGCTGTGGGCAAGACGCCCATGAGATCGTTCATGTGTAACCCGTACATCCAGCTGTGAATCTGAAATGGGCTTTCCAGGTTGATGCAGGGTCTTTCAGTACAAGGACTAATCATTTTGCCTTCTTCGGACGGGCTGCCCACCGAGTGGCGCAAGGCTTGTACAGCTGCTTGTGTTTGCTTGGCAGATCAGCTGAGTCTTTGGCCGCAGATATTCACGGAGCTTGCGCCTGTTGCTGCAGGCTCTCCGGGTAGTTTTTAATTTGCGATTACGGAGTCCTGCGCTTAGTTGGTGTGCTGGCACATATCTTGCGGTGTTTCGGCGTGTTTATAACCCTCAGGCGTTAGTGGCAAGCGCTTGCGAACAGCTCCAAAAACGTGCGATGCTCAAAGCCGGATACCGTGCAGAGACCGCATGACTTGACTTACCTCGTGAAGACCTGCACCATGATTGTGCTGGTTCTGCTTGCCAAGGCTTCATCTCTCGACAGTCCCTCTCGATTATTGGGCAGGGCTCTTGAAACTTATGCTACTAGTACCTTGTAGCTTTGGGAAGTGACACTTCCGATAATATGCGATAACCATGTGGCGACAGCAGTGGTACTCAAAGATGCTACTGGTTGCCCGTGGGTTCAGTCAATGTATACACAGGTCCAGGAAGTGCGATCCAAGCAGCTGAACGAGCTAACGGACGGGCGCTGGAGTTACGACTTGGAGGCAAAACATCACATCAGATTCGCTCCCAGCCTCTCTTTGCCTTGCTTTGACTATGACTGTGCTATGTGTGACCTGCATCTGCAGCATAGAAGATGCGCGCTGACAGTGCAGTGACAGCCTAGGCTTTAGGGACACGGCGTGACACTGAGAAGAACGCTGAGACCCGGCAGGCCGATCGCTTTGAGCCCAAGGGCGCGTTTGCAGCACCCCCAGATCGGGCCCAGCTTTCATCGATGGAATCCACCACCGCCGGGCCGAAGTTTTGCCAGTCGCCTCGCAGAGTATCCCAACAGGGCCTCGCATCTCAAGGAGTGCCCCGGCGACTCGCGCATCCAAGTGGGTTTCAGTGGTCCCGTGGTCCTCGAAAGGCCAGGGGACTCGCCGCCGTCCCAACCTAAACCTTCTCCGGTCAAGGAGGGAGAGCTGGAAGCGGGGGGATTTTAGCGAGCCGTTTTGTGGTGCTGGCGTCCGTGCACCAGTGAGCAGGTTTCAGAAAGAGCCATCCATGCTGCAGTTGTGGAATGGCCGTTGGCTCAGCACGGCCGGCATTTGCTCATTTGTGTTACTAGATGTTGTGATTTCTTTGGGTTTTTGATGAGGCTCTGGGGAGTCGAGCCAGACAGTTCAAGTTTTTGAGTTGTATCTACTGAGGGAAGACAGCTGGACGGCCGCTGCTTTAACGAGATGGTGCGCATGCAGCATGTGTTATGTACGGGGAGCGCAAATGCGGAAATAAATACACTATGCTTGGCAAAGCCCAGCAAGTCAAGGTTGGATCCTTCTTGGCCCCTCAATTTGATTTGCCTAGCAGTGGGATGGGCTGAGGTGTAACAAAGGATTGTGAGATACCTCGACAAGCTGTGACAAGCATGATCCAGCAAGCTGGGACTCACCTCCACATGGCTAAGGCACCTCTGGAGATGGAGTTCCTGTCAGTGAGATTGCGCCCTGTGCCGGCGAGGCCTGATGCCGTATCGGTAATTGCACAACTCGACGATCATCCGAACTGGCATGTGGGTGTTCTGATGCTTATGCAAGGCACCAAAGCCTTTATTCCTGGAGCTCGGCGAGCCGCCTGTAACTTTCGAACTGCGTTGCGCGGAGCCTGTGTCAAACGGTAGCCTGACGAAGGTCTTCATTCATGTTGCTCTCCCCTTTGCCATGAGGTTTAGAGTTCAGCCTCCCGGTGAGGCTCTCCACAGGTGGAGCTGGGAGCCCAGCTGTGAAGACTTCTTTGGGTTGTGATAGTTGGGGCAGGGCAGGCAAAGGGCAGTCGTACTAGATCAAGTCGCCTCAGGCAACTCTGCCCCAACATCGGCATTGTGGAATACCCCTGCGTGGGATCAGCTGGGACATTTCTTGCTCAGGGAATCAACACAAGCGTGCCGATGGAATTTGTTCTTGCTTACCCTAGTACATTGTTGATGTCTGCCTTTGGGTTTCCACGCACGGCTTGTAGTGGGGTTCGCCGCCGACGACCCTTGCAGTACACAAATTCGGCAGATGACTCTTCATGAAGTCTGCCGGACCGGGAGGCTGGTTGGAGGTACAGAAGGCCACAGGCAGGGATCCAAAATCAATGTGTTGAGGCACAACAAATCCATTTTGATGTTTCCCGGTTTAGAGGACGTGCTGGAGCCCTACTCGTGGGCCCTAATGCTTGCGTCCGCAAGCAAACCCCAATTCAGGCATGAGGAAAATTAACGACCCGACCATTTGCGGAACTAGGATGCGACCCGACCTGACCTGGGCTCATTTCCTTCTGCTCAAGGTGCCGAATCATCATAATGCCCCAAGCCACTGACACCCTTCAGGCAACGTGTCAAATTGGGAGAGCTGCCAGCGGCAGCTGCGCCAATATGGAAGTGTAGCTTGTTTCTGCAGCCAATGCCAAGGCCTACACGGTGAGCATGAAGCCAGGGGCCAGGCCAGCCTGCCTGCGAGTTTTGACCGTGCGCCCGGGGGGCTCCTCCGTGATGTGTGCTTGAAGGTACCATCCCTTTAGCGGACCAGTCCGTCAAGGCAGAGTCGCCGTGAGAAGGGCTAGTCTGTGAGCCGTTACCTCTCGGAAGATTTCGTGGGAGGTGACCATGGCCTAAAGCTGACGGGTCCTCGACCTTTCCTCTTCAATTTTTTATCGTCCGCGGCTTGACTTCGGGTGTTTCTGAAACTCTGCGCTTGTAGATCTACGTCAAGAATGATGTTGATCGTTGGTGGACGTGTTCGTGGGATGACACTGTCCATCCCCGGTCCTCTCACCATGCATCTCGGTTTGGCCGCGAGTGTCCACACATTTCGTGAGCACTTGCTTCATGCTTGTTTGCTGAATGGGTCTTTCGGGCGAGACCGTCTGAGTCACATATTAGATCTTCAGCTGCAAAGTAGAGGTCTCTGAATATAGAAGACGCGACTGCGTCTCGTGTCATCGTGTGTTGCAAGTTTTGATGCATCAATGCGTACATGTACTTTCTCGTTCCAGCTGTCCCAGTGCTCTCGGATGGGACAAGGCAGCATTGCAGAGACGTCTCAAGCTGAGACATGGAATTGAAGTTCTGACTGTGACTCTAGGGAGCCAAGTCAGGAGGGCGTCAAGGATTGATCAGAGAAGGTTGTCGACGAGCCACGGGGAAGCAATGGATCACGTGGACAGCTTCCGCTGAGATCTGAGGTTTTTTTCCGACTGTACTTGAGACACGGCTTGAAGGCCAGTCAGAACTGCAGCATGTACCAAAGGGTCGGGGAAGAGTGCAGACCCGCGAAGCATTTGGCTGTTTAGTGGCGAAGGCCGATGCCCTGCATGGACTTCACACCGCCATCTCCATCACTGCTGCAAATGGAGAGGTAGGAGTCGCTGTGATTCAGTGTGGTGGCTGTGCTTCCCTTGAAAGGTGATGCAGCATCGCCTTGAGGTGGCAAAGAAGGCCACGCTTGAAATGAAGGCGGGGTTATTGGCTACAACGCACGCGGCCGGCCTTTGGAAATGCAGCATAGAACTCCACATCTCGAGCAATGCGAGCCGCCATGCAAAGCCAATGGCGGCATACGAAGCCGCGAAGGTTCTTGACCTGCAGCCAGGGCGCGAGTGTGTTGCTCAGCATCGAATCGAATGCCGATCGCATTGCCGCTTCAGACGATGTCTGAGGTTGCTGCTGGAGCAGGAGTTAAGGTCTTCTCTAGTCTTCTGGTCAAAAAAAGCTCGCAGTCAAGCAAGGTACAAAGTTCATGTTCGACCTTCTCTCGGTGCCGGGCTCCAAGCAGCCAAGCAGAACTCGGCAAAGCGGGATGCAAGTGATGCAAGCATTGTAAGCACCGTTTTCACGGTCCTGTCCTCAGGTGCTCGACGGCCTCGGTCAGCCCTTGCAGGGCTCGGAGGTAACGCTGAAGATGGCTCAGCTTCCAGGCTGGGCTTGGGGTCGACCCAGAGACATCAGAGACCCATGGACTCCAAGTATTCGTGGTTTTTTCACGTCAGGCCTGTTCCTGACGCCAGAGTCGCGGAATCCGGGCCTGTGGTCTTCGAGCGTTGCTGATCGGTTTCTGCCTTCCGATCTGCCGGCCGCGAGCTCGAAATCAGACTTCCTTCCTTGCACGTTGCACGTTGCGTTCGTTCACATTGCACCCCCGACTCTGTCCTTGGCTAGCTGCTTTCGGCCTCGACATGCCTCGACACTTACTTGTGCATCTTGCGCTGACTTAGTCTTTTCCCATGTTTCAGGGAATAAGGGCCCGCAAAGAAATCAAGATAAAGCCAGCCATCATTTAATTCCACGATGAGGAGTTCTTCCCCCTTCTTGCACGGCGTCATCCACTGAAGCAGCTTGGTTCCTTGCCTTGCAAGAGCCCTCCTTGTGTGTTGTTGTTAAGCATACTGGTACTGAGACCAGGGGATACAAAAATTGCGTAGCCTGCGTTGGCCTTCAGTTTCGCAAGCGCCTTCTCCGATTGCAGGCAACGTCGAGCCAACCTCATCCATGCAGGCACCCTTTATTCGAGTTCGTTCATATGCTGACTGCACACAGACACATGGAGGGCAAACCAAAGGCCGAGCGGGCCTAGCCGCACGCAAGAGAAAGCACCTTCCGCTACGCAAGGGATGGACAAAGCCTAAATATAACCTAATTACTTAAGATTACTTAAGTATGCTTGTGGCAGGCACTCGCCGTAACCTGGAAACTCAGCAACGACCTGCAGCCTTCAGCCTGCAGGCGTTTGCATGCCCGATTTCCTCAGCGGAAGAGCTGAGGCGCTTGCTGCCACCTGTTACTGTAAGGTAGCAAACTCATTGGAGCTCCGTCCAAACGGGTCAGTGCTGGTTGAGATGTACCACATGTGGTCCTGCTGTAATAGTTTATTAGCATGCCTTACGTGACTCAGGTTCCAACCGTCAGCGCAAACCCGGGGCCCCCGGGGCGACATGCCGAACAGACTCCAGACTCGTTCTTAAAGAGCTAATATGGGTCGCATGAGGATCCGGGATAGTCCAGGTAGCTGCAAGGCGAGTCTGTGTAAGACAAGATTTTTGCTGATGCCAACTGTCTTGAACTCCCCAGCTGCCGTTCTCTGCCTCCACCCCCGTGGAAGCTCACGGGCCACCCCAGATTATGTGCAGAGTTTTGACCCCCACACAGCCCAAACCTTACGGCCAATGTCCTGTGCTCAGGGACTTTCTTACTTTCTACTTCTCGCCCGAGAAGGCGATGATGAAATATGCTCAAGTCAACTGGCGACCTGGCTTACTGCCACTCTGGCAGGCAGTGTCGTCGAAGCATGGCCCCTGTGCTGCCAAAGCTGCAGCGGCTTCCTAAGTTGCGCTGTTCCTGTTATGGCGTCACTTCACGAACCCTTGCTCTTCAGGAACGTCCGGGTGTCCTTCTGTCCAGCGGCAAGGATGTCCAGTTCAACCAGATACCTGTGGAATTCATGCGTTCGAGGCAAGGATTGCTGGCGTTATCGTTTCGGCTGAGCGTTGCAAACTCTTTGAGGCTGCTCTTCCTCGAACTGGTCTGCATGGGGCAAGACGCAGACATGCGACAGTGTGGGATGCGCAGCAGCTCGTTTGCATTTGGCGACTTCAGCAGTCTTGCGTAAAAGAAATGGTGACACTCAAAGCTCACCTCTGGTCTCGTCCCGGCAGGTCCTGGAAACACAGCCCGTTTCCTGAACGCGGCGTCATTCGAGGTCACGGTGGTGTCTCGGCTCGCGAGTCTCCGGCTGTGTCCTTCCTTACCTTTCTTCCTCGCATCTGAGGCCTTCGCTAGCCCACGAGAGGCGCCATACGCGAGCGAGGAGTCTCGCCCTCATTCGGCGACAGACATCGGAGTCGTGCATCATTTCACTGTCTTCGGGGCCACTGTAGCCACTTGCGTGCATCTCGACGATGTGACATGTTGTGACTGGGTCAGAGCGGTTAGAAAGGAGCTGGGGCTCGCCTTGCCAAAGCCTGGCTTCCTCAAAGGCCTCATGCGATGATCCTGACAGCGGTGCACGGCCTGAACGATGCAAACCCAAGACAGGGCTTGGAGGCCACTGCCCTGAAAGGTGAAGGGATTTCGGGTTCTCTATGGCTCTCAGAGAAGCGAGCTTGCTGTGTGAAAACAGCATTCAAGTGGTGAGGCAACAGGGCTGACAAAATGAGAGGGCACCAGAGGTCCAACACGCCCCAACCGAGAGCCTCAAGATGATTTTCTTGGGGTGAGTGAGCCGTTTGAGTGTCTTCCTGAGCGGATGGCATTTGCCGCATGTCGCTACTGCAATCTGCTGTGGATCAGGTGACGGTCTGGGAAATCCCCAGCACGCGCTGGATGAATGGTCAGAGTGTCCAGCCGCCTGTTAAAAGGAGCGAGCCTCAAAAAGAGATGGAGTGCATGGCTCTGCCAGCTGCAGGATCGCGACGGAGGTGACGGATGCTCACGGCCGCTCGGCCACATACCTGCCACAGGACGCCGACTTCAGCATCCATAAAATGGTTGCTGCGTCAATGCCACTTTTGAGAGGAGATGCGGCAGCCCCATGAATATGGCGGCAAGAAGGCAGACGAAGGGGAGCAACGACTAGGAGAAGTCATCCAATAAGCAGCGCTTCGTGCCAAGAGCGACATTGGCAGTGTGCGGCTGGAATGAGCCTGAGCAAGCATTGATGCTGTGAGGGCTATGTCGTCTCTGTTCAAGACCCGAAGAGTGGCGAGATTCTCCTCTCTGACTTGCACTGCACTGAGTCAAGCCGGCGGTTGTGGTTGATGAAGCCGCTGCTCGTTGTTTGGATGGATTGGAGCTAGGCTTCGCCTCGGGAGGATGCCACCGCAAGTCGAATCCCCCAGCTGATGACTCGGCAACGCTTTGCGGATGCCTTGCAATCCTTGACGATTGGAACATAATAATCTGACGGTCGCAGCACCCGTGATAGGCAGAGTGAGAGAGAGGCGTGTGACAGACAGCCGGCCTCACTGGCATCTGCTAAGGTGCAGCATTCGCCGGTGCTCTCCGAGTTTCGCTTGCCACAGACCGGGCTGTGTATGCACGGACGCCAAGCTGCTGGCGCTTTTATGGAGCGGAGCACTTCGGTGACAGCGCAAGTCCTAAATTTGATAGGCACCTGGAGATTCCGTGGCGGTGCTTGGCGTGGTTGCTGCAGTTGGCACGATTTGTCCAGGAGGAAAGCCAGGCACGGACCGTCGCAGAAGAGAAGTCATGCATGAGACGCCAAGCTGACAGCTGTTGGAACACATGCGTGCAAGGCAACGTTTGCGCCCCCTCTGCAGTACGAAATGAGCCGAGCGTCGAAAGCCAAGATTTGGAAGAAGCTTGAGTTTGCAGCGACCACAGTCACAGGATTGCTCGCATAAACTGTGGAACGCAGTGAAAGAGCATGCTTACGCAACAAATGTTTGCGCAGCACTGCAGCTGAGATTACGACACAGTCAGTCGTCGCGTGTACGTACAGACTCTTTCACATGGCACCTTGTCGTTCACGCACGAATCGCTCTTACAAGCAAGAGGACATTTGATAAGCTTCTGTGCGTCAAAGCCCCAGACCTATCCCCATCATACAACAGCAGCTCAGTATAGCGCAACACAATCCTCACTTCTAGAACTGAGCAGCCAATGGCAGCCAATGATGGTTTTTTACTCGTTGAGATCATAGCAGTTGAAGGAGGACTTACGTATCTGTGACACATTGAGCGGAGCCCATGCTGTGAGCAATCCCAGCTTTCGTGTCGTTTGGCTATGACGGCCGCAATGACGCCGGAGGCAGGAGATTCGTCCTGGATCGTTCTGAGGGGGGCCTGATTTCGTCTGTGCTGGCAGGTGTGGGATCAGCTGAAGCATCTTCGAGAGGATCGGGAGAAGCTCAAGGAGGCCAGACGTGCCCAGTCTCAGACTTGCAGCGCGCGTGTACTGTCTCTCGACAGGCGGCCGAGAGCGCGCTGCAGGATGGAGACGAGGGAGGCTTCGAGTTCCAGAACATGCTCGCCTCCGAAATCACCGCATCCTGGCTTACAGGGTTTCCAAAGCTCAGCGGCAGTGCCAGCGCTAGTGATGCTACTTGTAGTGATTTGCAGGAGAAGATCGAAGAGCTCGAGGGCAAATACGGCACCCAGCCGCCCTTGCCGGGAGCCAGAAACGAGCCCTCGCAGGCGAGTGCATGTTGGGTGCTGCCCTGTGGCCGCATGAGTAGCTGTGAATCCATCAGTCTTCTAAGCATCATCTTGCGCAGGTCCCGCAGGTTGGCAAGTTGCCGCTGCCCCCTCCGCCTCCGGCGTGGCTGGGATCAGCATCGACAGATGGGCCTACTGCCAGCTGTCGCATGGCAGAAGCCTGTGCTGAGCTCGTTCTGCTCCTGAGGCCGGTGGCCTCCGTGGCTTTGGCCAAGCTGCCGGGCATGCCCGGCGCCCTTCCTGGCCCTTCAGCTGAAACTCTGCAGTTGGCAGTGTGTCTTGGTCACTGGCTTTGCAAGTTGCAGCATGACCGAAGCAGAGTCCAATGTAACCATTAAAAGTTATAAGATATAACATAGCTCAGAACTGAGCACGGCTGAGTCTTGTACTGTAGGGTTGTGTGTCCAATTAAGCACTGCTTCCGTTTAGGCTTTGCTGAAGGAAGCTGAGGAAGGATGCACACGAAAGGTCGATCATTCTTGATTCCAAGGTGTCGCCAATCTACCACCGGGCCTCGCGGCGACGATCCCGCCAGGAGTGGCGGCAAATCTCCCTCCAGGCTTTCAGATTTGTTCTTCAGTGTTGGGCTGCAAATGTGTCTCTTTCACTGGATTGAGGCATCGCTGCCAACATTCCGCCGGGTGTCGCAAGTGCCCTGGGCAAGATGCCGCCGGTACCGGGGGCGCCCCCGATGCCAGGCTTGCAGGGGCTGGTAGGGGCTGAAAGCTTTGGGCCTGGCTCGATAGTCGCGAGGTTTCACAGGGTGTCCTGTCCGAACAGGATCTTTAAGTCAGAAACCCTCGCTTTGAGCAGGCTTGGCCCCCGGCTTTGTTGGCGTGCGGCCGCCACCCTTCCCGCTACCACCTGGCGTGATGCCGCCGAAACTCGGCAGTAAAACCCCGTGCTTGCACTCATAAGTTCGGCAAGATGCACAGACGTTACAATAACTTGCGCAAGAAGTGGTTCAAGCTTTTTTGCGAGAGCCTTTGCTTGTCCCACACCAGAACATCAGACAGTGTTTCCTTTCAAGTGAACTCTAGCACGAAGCTGCAGGTAGACATGCAGTTTGTAACAATCGTCGACGGTTTTGTTCGGAGGTTGCTTGGGCAGCCGGCGAATCTCACACAGCAGCAGGCTATGGAGCCCAGACCCCAGATTTTGCCTTCGCTGCCGAAGCTCTCGCGCTGCCGGCCACAAAGGTACGAAGAGACGAAGGCTCGAGACACGGCCACTTGTCTCCAGATCTGCCGGCCTCTCCGGACGGGCTTAGCACATAGAGGGACGAAAGATGAAACACGCCCCAGCGTCTTCGTTGGACCTGTCGTTTCGGCAAAACCATGACACTTAGCCGAGCGGTTCTGATCCCAGGCGCTGGAACCGGAGGTCATCGAGCTTGTGCATTACTTCAAGATCTCGGATCGACATGCTCGAATGCTCAACGAACAGCTGAAGCCACTTGGATCTCGACTGCTCGGCGCACTGCCTTTAGGACTTTACTTACACCGTTACACCCTTTGAGGCGGCGAAACAACACGTACGAGGAGGACATCGCATCCCTCTATGAGATCTTGAAGGGTGCCAAGAATCCAGGAGCCTCAGCCTTGCAAGCGCTGCTGCAGTCTTTTCTCCTTCAGTCTTCGAGGGTGAGACGAAGATCCATCGCTTCTTGTGAGGAGATCTGTTGATGGCCCTGGCCCTGGGCCAGACCACCTTGCATAGATCAGCAGAGCAGATCTCGGACACGTCTCTGTCACTGCTGCCTTGCTTAGGTCTCCATCCGGTGGATGGAGAAGGGTGTGTTCCGCGGCACCCTGACGCCCAATCCAGCGGTTGAAAAGGCCTGAAGGGCACTTGCGCGCTCAGAGCATGGAGTCGTCTTCGCACATGATGCATCCAGGCGGCCAAAAAGTACAAGCTGGATGCGCCTTCTGCCTGCAAGTTGGCGGAGGTGCTCGAATGCCGGGAAGACCCAGATGCCGATCTCAGGCGCGACTCCCTAGGAGAAGAGCGGGGCTTCGAAACCTGCATTGTTTCAGGGAATGCGAGCAGTCGCACAGGCTTCAGACTCCGAACGAAATATCGCGGGGCGGAGAGTGTCATGAAGATGTCACATGAGGAGCGCAGTCTCTGCCTGGTAGATCAACCCAAGTATGGTGGTGAGACGAGGACTGAGGGGTGCTGTGCGGACCAAAGGAAATTGAATGTCAAAGTCGCCCATGTGGGCACCCGTTGCGAAAAAGCACGGGCTTCGACTTGCCACAAGCACGAGGCCCACTATTCACCAAGACTGGCTGGAAGCAAGGCTTCCCGGGCTTGACTCGCATGCACAAACATCTTAGCACAAGCTTGCCGAGACATGAAACAAACCACCTCTGCTGGCACACACCTGCAGTTGTCTTTTTGGGAGGCGTGTCGGATGCTAGAACGGAATGCAACAAGTTTTCACAGCAGATCGAATGCAGAGTTCAAGTTTAGCCAGTTTTGCCTATGTTTTGTCGGGACAGGAGCGGTTGCTTGTGTAGAGCCCATGCAGCTATGTGCAGCTGAGTAAGAGCGAGCTTTGCACCCTCAGCCATTGGCATCCACTGCATCCACTGTCCCACATGTCCTTTGATCCTTTGATCTTGTCGGGCTTGCGGGTGTGTCACCACGGAGCCTGAATAAAAGGACTTGACTGCTGAGCTCCACGAACGAGCGCTTGCAAAGGACATTGTAGGAAATCTCCCAATCCCCACCCCTTGAGTTGTGCAGTAGCATGGCTGCTGGTGCTTGCAGACTGGATGCATCTAGACTCGTAGTCGGGTACAGATCTCCACGGCGGCTTGACTGACTCGGCGATGTGTTGTGATGTCCATCCTGTGGCAAAGGAAGCTCTGTGATCACCTAGCAGCCTCAAACAAACCCTCATCCTTGGCTCTGAGCTCAGTTTCATGCCATGGCCTTGGGCCTCACTCAGAGCCTGAGAGCTGCAGGGTTCCCTGCTGCTCCTTCGAGGTCATGCAGATGTTGCGAGATATCAAAGCTGGCAAGCCCGTGGAGGCGTGCACCCGTGCCCCAGCCATCGGAAGCTATCTGCACAAGAAGGCTGGGCGATGAGACCTGCTGTGCTTGTGTGGCTACACCGTGATTCGCAGATGGCTCAGGAGACGGCGACGAAGCAAAACTCGAAGGGCGGCCGCAGTAGGCCGGAACGTGAACCAGCAGTGCAGCAGGCTTCACACGATCTTCACAAATCTTGACCCGTAACCGATCACCGGTCGTCAGGACGCCAACCCGGCGCAGCCCCAGCCGGGAGCGGAGACACCGCAGCCGAGAGCGGCCAAGGGGTGGCCGGAGCCACCTGGCGAAGAGGACACAGAGGACTCTCTGAGCTGTGACCATCCGCGAAGACCCTTTGGATCGCTATAGTTCTCTGAGGTCGCAGCCGAGGCGGAGGCGGCCGCGGCGGAGAGCGAGGCGGAGAACGTGGCGCCCACCGCGGTGACCGCGGGGATCGCGGGGGTCCGGAGGAGAATGGCCGTGGCCGGCAGCGACACCTGGCCATACTCCGCACGCTGTGTGCAGATGCTTCGGGCTTGCTTGTGCTGCAAGAAGTTTCCGAAGATGAACTATAACTAAGTGATCGTTCGAAGTTGGCGCTCTCCTAAGAAGGAAGTATGGAGCAACCGCTTAAATCGAAGCAGCAATGCACTGGATGTACTTGGAAGATCTCGGATGCAGGGAGTCCAGGAAATCGCTCTGTTCAGGGCAGGTTTAGGGATGTTTAGGGCTGGCAGGGTCGGACATGGTCCTTGCAAGAGCACGCAAAACCCTGCCCGAGCCCAGAAACAGATCTTTGAATGTCTGGACCCAGAGTGACTCATAAGTCTCATGTTCAGGAAGCCGGAGCCGTACGGACCGTCGTGGTGGTGGCCGACGCTACTTGGCAGAAGCGCTTCCAGGGAAATTCAGCTTCCATCCCTTCTGTGGAAGTGGCGATCAGTGTTTGACTCTTGAAGATGCATGGGTGAACAGGTGAAGATCGAGCTGCCGAGGAGCATCCAGGTGCGATATTTTCTGCGAGACCTCAGCAAGCTCTTGGATGCTTGTGTCTAGATAAGTGCGCGCACAACTTCAGCGATGCTTGAAGTAGTGCAGAAATGCATCGTATGGGGCTGACGCTTGTGACAATCCTACGACTCATGACCGACAGGTGAGGCAGCGTGACCTACCGGGCCTGAGCAGCTCAGCAACTTGCAATGTCCGGCTGCAGCCGCTGCACTGCAGCAGCAACAGCTGGCCTGCATCTGTGCGAGAGAAGCCACGGCCCTGCCGGCCAAAGAAGAACGAAGCAGGCACAGTTTCCATCTCGTGGTTTGAACCTCCTTAGTGCCGATCAAGATGCGACCCTTAAAGATATGCTGCAGTGGCCGCTGAAGATCTGCCAGCTGTGTCAACGCCTGCGTTCCTCGCGTTGAGCACGTGCTTGTGCAGATTCGGGAGCAGATGTATGTAGCTGTGGAGGCAGGTCAACAGGTACTGCCTGCCATATCCTGCAGCTCAGCCATGGATGCATGAGAAAGCAGAACTGTTTCAGCCGAGTTGTTTTGCCACATGAGCTCTCCTCTCAAGAACGTCTGGATCGTGCACAGCATGGCCGGGCATCGAGGCCTTGCTGGCTGCCGAGATCATCTGGGCGCCGCAACCCAAGAACTACGACAAAGCGGCAGCCGAGCCTTTGGCAGTTCGAAGCTTCGAGGCTTTCTCTCGGCCCCGATCAGAAGGAGGTTTGCACTGTGCACCTTTGGCTCCACACCCAGCTTTCTGCAGACTGGCTCGCGGTCGCCACCCCGACCCACGCATGACCTAAGGCCAGTCTCTCCTTTCGGCATGTTCAGTGCCAACATTTCGGTGTCGCGGTCTTAGCGCGATAGCTCCCTGCAGTTCTTCATCGTATGCAATTTACGAGCTGAGGCCCGCAAATGCATCGTTCGGTGACCAGGTTGCAATTAGCACCATCCAGGTCTCTGCAAAATTTAGGCCTATCAACTTCAGCAGTGCAAAGAGCTGCTGCGAATGCCCTCGCTGCGACAGGCCCGGTGCCATCGGTGAGTTTGTTCTGGGCACGGGCTGCGACACCTCAGGCAGCACGGGAGCGGGAGGGTTCAGGGCCCATCTTGTGTGCTGTGCCTCGAGTCTCCCTGGGATGCCGAGGTGCTAAACAGCTGCCGCATCCTTGGACAAGCAAGAATCCTTGTGTATCCGTGTCATCAAGTGATAGATTGCTCTTCGTTTTGGTTTGCAAGGGCGAGTGCTCACTGTGAAAAGGCTGCGGTGCTAGTGGTCAAAGAACGAGTGCTCTTTTCGATGTTAAGAATTTGGTAATTGCTGTTGCTTCCAAGTGCATCGGGCAGCCTCTTGTATGGACGAGGCGAGGAATGGCGGAGGCATCGTATCCAATATCGAGATCCGGTACTTCGATCTACCCAGTTCGCCAGAGCCTTGAAAAGTTGTGAGAACCCTGTCGAATCAGTTGCGGACATCAGCCGTAATTCTTCGGCGTTCCTGTTCGTGGTCCCGGCGGGCTGTTTCCATCGGGTTTTGGAGCTCTGCCCCTAGCTCTAAGGATGTCCTCGTTGCTGATCCACGCCCGCCGACGGTGGGGGTCTGAGTTTTCTAGGCCCCCGACTCGAAAGGCTGTGTTTTACCTCTGTCCGGCTCTCCGACGAGGCTCCATTGCATGCTGTGAATGTGGGACTGTTCACAGATACGGCTGAAGCCATTGTGGTCCTGGTGCAGACAAGAACCCGAAACACTTCAGCACAATAATAGCTATTTGTCACGCTATCCCTGCGAAAACAATGCTGCCTTGTCGTGCAGACTGAATGGCCACGTGTCCAAGCAGATCCTCAGCTTCGGACGATTCCGACAAGGCATGTGAAGAAGAGTTCTCTCGCGTTTGTGAGGACCGCGATGTCGTCGCCTGGAGTAGGAAAGCCTGGGCACTTGTCAAACGGCTTTCGAACTGTGATGGTTTCCAAGACGTCGACATTGAGACCAATTGCACACAGGCGCTTGACGTGTCGAATGCTAGTGAAAGCATTTGGAGATCTTGCACAGAGACTGAAGCGCTTCTGAGACGGAAAGACCTCGGCCCGTGGTACTTAGGTAGCAAGGAGGTGCCGGTTACAAAGAATGTGGTAAGCAGCGATCCTCACGGATATTGCTCAAAGCGAATTGCGGAACAGCTCTCTGGCAGGCCCTTCAAGCTTCAGCGGAAGTCTGACAGCAGTGAGTCTGAGCCTTTGGCTTTCAGCGTTCCAGAAGAGTCCAAGATCAGCCCGGAGGATGTCGTGGTCACCGTCTTGCTTCAGAACTCTAAGGGTTCCAAAGATCAGGAGTTTGATGTCCTCGCCAGCCAAACGCTTGAAGACCTGAGAGATGCCTTTTATTTCGTGGGGGACCTAATGTTTGACGGGCCAACCAGGAGGGCCTCGGCTTGCATGTATATTGACGGCATCTTCTATGTCGACGAAAGGAAGTCATCTGCCCTTGACTATTCGCTGGAACTGGTTGACTGGCTGCGCAACCTCGACTTTGCCTTACAAGATGAGAAGTCCCGGTCGATGTCCACACGGATCTGCGACCTGGAAATTCCGTTCGGGCAGCCATGCTGTTTCATACGGCAGGGCGACATCGAACATCACATGTACTTCACAGGCGCGCGGCTGATCAACGGGACGAGAGACTGCCCTTTTCGCGAAGGCTACCCCTGTTTAATCTGGATGCGACAGTATCATCGCCGGCGTTGTGTTGCCTGCCTTTCGAGCTTCGCATCGTGGGTGGTGCTTGACTCATCGAGATGTCCTTTGAATCCAGCCCATCTGTGTCAGTTCTGTTTCAGACACTTTTCAGAAAAACGAAACGGTGGGTACATTCTGCCTACTGACTACAAGGCATTCCCCTATCTGCACGACGAAACTTGAAGCAGAAGGCTTTCGTCTACGTGCGGGCCCAATGATGCCTCACATGGTCGTGGATTCGAGAGAGAACACTGACGTGTCGCCGAAATGGCTGAGGAGCTTTGGATGAACTGGTCTAGACTTGGCAGGGCGGGTATGGATCAGAAAAGGATGACCGCCGATGGAACAATGGTCACGGGATTGCTCCCGTCGGTGTGCCGAAAGCCGAATCATCGGCACTTGACCGCCTCAGCCTTAATTGGCTGCAGCGCCGGGGTCTTAGAGCCGCTGGCTCAATATGCTCAATAGGCCTGAAGCCGGCAGTCAAAAAAGCGCAGATACAGGCAGGGCAGAGAGGATTTCCGTGCCGGGTCTTCGCTGACCGACGAACTCTTGGACCCCTGGAATGGAGGCACTGGCGATGCCTCCAGACTCCAGTCATGAAGCTGAAAGGAGCTGTCATGGAGCTTCATGTCGCGCATTGTTTAAAACGCCTCGAGTGGCAAGTCCTCGGCGTGCGAAGTCCCTTGTGGATCAGTTCTCGACACACTTTCGTTGAAAGCTTTGTTCCTCCCCTTGCCAATGCAAGGCCTTCATCAAGTTCAAGCACTTCCCCGCCTTCTTGCAGCCGGGCCGGCCCTTGCGGCTTGCACTGTTGCCTGGTGCTTGGCAGCCGTGCTCGCCGGCTTCCGGCATTCCGCCATCTCACCCCTGGCCCAGGCTCGAAACCTACACGGGCATTCCTCTGCAGAACCATGATGTGAAGGCAGCTGTGGTCTGGGGCCTGCGGCTTGCAAAATTCCAGAGTCTTTCTTGTCCGTTGCCTGGCTCAATCCAAGCTGCCAGCCTGACGTGACTGTCGTCTACTTTCATGCCAGATCGAGATCTCAAAGACAGCGGAGGACATGCTGCAGCGGCCTTACGTGCATCTTACGGTATGTCTGCACCTTCGTTTGCCGATGTGCGATGTCGCATGACAGGTCCAAAGTCAACAACACGACATGTTTGACGCCCATGAGGTCTCATAAGGGTGCCTCTGCCTCAGGCAGCCGCTGCCGGCTCCGGAGATGTCGGAAGCCGAGGCCTCTTGCGAAGATCGGCACGGTGTCAGACCGCTCGATACTAAATTTGGTGACTTTCTGGTGAACCAGAGTAGACAGAGTAGTTTTCACATGATACACAAGCAAATGAAATTGATGCACACACGAAAGCTAAAGCACGGAAGATGGTCGTGAGCGACAAACAGCTCGTGCAGGATCGGGGAGAGAGGAGCACAGAGTTTGCCAGATCGACCAACGCATCTGGCCTGTGGTCTCAGGACATGAAAAAGACTAACACAAGAGCCGACTCAGTACTTTCTGTGCATTGTAAGCTTCCCAGATTTGTGCAGGACGTGATGTTTGGTCCGCAGCGTGCATCTCTCAGTGTCATATGCCTCATGGGCATCCATGTGCACCGTAGTTATATGACCTTCTCTCTCAGTCCGCCCGTAAGGTGAAGTATCTTGGATCCCGAAGTTGGGAGACGAGCTGACTGTGAAGGCCAGAAGACGCACCATCCCATCCTGTGATTTGCATTCGCTCCTCCGCAGGCCTCCGCACGAGGACCGACGGGTGAGCTTCTGGTACAGTGCCTGCTCTCAGTATACGAAGAGGGATGATGCGCATGCTGACGAATGCCTTTCTTAAGGTTGCAGAAGCTGCCGGTCCGCTTGAGCCCATACGAGGTGGAGATCAGGAGCGATTGGCCCGAGCAGCAGCCACCCTGCAGTCGGTCTCGCGGTTTCGTCGCCGTCGCTTGGCTTGAGGACATCGGCTGGCGTTGGTGGCGCCCAGGGGCCCCTTCCAGGCAGCACCTTGTGCTCTGTGGTCTAATGCGTCTAAAGTCTAAATAATAAAGTGCATCAATGTTGCACTGCCCGCAGGACAAGACTTCACGGCCTGGGTGGAGTTGAAGGCTTTCGAACTCAGTTCTGTCCCGGAAGCTGATTCAAAGCGCCAGACCTGCAAACAAGGCCGCCTTCCCTGAAGAGAGCTGGAGCATCGCACCAGGCCCAGATGCTCCGCGCTCAGTGCTCACGGCTGCGCCTCGCTGACGCCCATCTTGGGTCAGCTCCGAGGCTGCGAAAGTCTTCCTGGTCCCTGCTTTCGCGGAGGACGAGAAGATGGCGCATGGCGGCCGCTTGGCTCCGGGTGACGCGACCCTCCCAGCTCTGGCAAGCCTTCAGCTCCTACACGTAGCTTCGAGCATCTCTCTTCAACAGATCACCACACAGTGACATAGTGAAATCCGTGTATGCCGCTGCTTCAGGCAGTTGCATGGCACACCACTGCTCGCTTCCGGAGCCTCGCACCGGGCGGAAAGCTGGCTTGGCCATCCTATACCGTCCTGCCACTGCCAGGCCTGGGTGCACGCCCAAGAGGAGAAGCAGGCTGGCTGCTTAGATGTCGCTTTTGAACACCTCGGACGGTCCAGCAAGAACGCTGCTTCCGAGAGTACGAGGCCTTGACACCAGACACGTTTGTGGATGAAAGGCCAGGCCCGCCGATGTTGCAAAGCCTCGAACTGGAATTGTACCGTTCGCTGGCATGACGCTTCTTTGGTTTCGGATTGTGATCTCAGGAGCCCAGTCGCAAAAAACGCGAAGCTCTAATTGGCTCCAAAACTTTTGCAACTTTTGGTATGAGTGGCGAGCTGATGGACGGCGACGACAGCGGAGATAGCAGCGACGGTGGGGTCTCGGAGGCTCCGGAAACGGGCAGACTGCGAACGATGCTGCGATCGCATTGGCCCATCCGCTGCCTGCCACCGCTGGTGTTCACGTCTTTGCTTCTAGGGGCCCTCTTCTTCTATTCTCGCCGGACCAAGCCTCTTGCTCGCGAAGTTGTCGGACAACCGGCATCGCTTTACTCCGCTCAATGCATGGCTTGCGGCCGTCGCGAGGTACTGCAATGCATTGTGCATAGTGATGGCGATAGGCAGCCGAGCGAGAAGAATGCCAAGCGGCCACAGCGGCCGCATGCTGAAGAGACTTTCAGCTGCAATGACGGCTGCATGATCTGGCAAAAAAATGTCAACGACGACGCATGCCACTGCTCCGACTGTGAAGACGAGGAGGCGTGGAGCTGCGGAACTTGCGGAGTGGCTCTCCGGAGCCTGGGTGACGAGGGAGAAACGATCCACGTCGCCAAAGTCCAACAGAATCAATATGCAACGGACGTGGGGGTCGGGGTTGGAGTCGGCTTATCCTCCGCCTTTGCCTTGGGCTTCGGCTTGGCCTTCGGTTTGGACTCCAAGCAAGTTCCCACCACTTCCTTGCCAGCGCTGCCAGTGTTGCCAGGCCGGGCTGCTACACACGCATGGTCCGTATGCAGTGATTTGGGGAGGTTTCCCACCTTCTGTTGGCAGAACATGCACCACACATAGGGTTGGTTTGGTATTCCAGGTTCGGTTTTGCCCACCAGTAGCTCTTCAGGGACTCGGGGATGTACTGTAGTCACGGGGTCCCGAGACGCGATGCATACAGTGCACAGGAGATTTTGCAAGAGGAATCTACTACGTGGTCGTCGTCAATCTCGGGTTGAATGTCTTCAACGCAGTGCCCTTCCGGCAAAGCCGCTTGCTTAAGCAGGTCGTTCGGAGAACTGTTGCAACAATTGGCAGGGTAAGCCTGTCCCTCGCCTCCTTGAGATTTCCGGACTGGGACGATGACGATGACGATGATGACGACGACGGTCGCAGGCTGCTTCGAAAGCCGTGGGAGGCAGTTGACCTCGATGTTGGCATTCGATGCGACAGCACCGCCACGGCAAGCGAAGTCGAGGCCCGAATACGCAACCAAACTGCTTTCTCTGCTCAAGAGGTGATGAATTCTGAGCTTCAATCTTCTGGAGCCACAGGTAAGATTGAGATTGTTCGGTGGCAGCCAGCTCCGAACCCATTATCCTTTAATCCCAATAAAGGCCCAGTCCAGTCAGGTTTCGCCTTTCAGGACAACGTGAGCCTGGGGCTCACGGCCCCGTAGCGGAGATGTTCAACCCTGCGGGCTCGATGTTTCACCTCCAAAATGTCCAAGAAGCCAAAGTGCTGAGAAGATCTAACTTCGCGGAATCGCAAAACAGCTGTTATCTGCACAGTAGTATAGTCACAAAGCTCGGCCAGATGCAGGATACTGATTGTAGGGTCATCGACTGAGTCTGATACCAACCGTTGCCAGGGTTTGTCGGCAGCAGATCTCCTTGACGTCCCCGGCGGTTTGCCAGTTCAGGCGCCCTCAAGTTCTGTAGTTAGAGGAGCTTTGTGAGCATGCGAGATGATTAGAGCAGGTCATTTCTGTCTTGTTGTGTTTGGTTCTTTGTGCCTTGGCATCGAGGATGCCGGCAGCTGAGAAGTATGTGCTCGTCGCCAAGATTGATGTGTGGGGGGCTGAGGACGCGGTCTGAGCCCGCGCGGGCCTGCCCAAAATCGGATAGCATTTCGATCTCGTGGAAAGCCAACGATCAGCAGTATGTGTAGTATGCGGCAGAGTCCAGACGTCGAATAGCTGGGAGCTGGGGCTCTTTCCCACTGCAAGCGTGTCGCTCTTCTCTGCAGGCGTGGCGAAGCCGGCATGGACCCGATTGAGTGGTTCTTCCTTGAGCATGTCCACAGAGGAATAACGTTTCCAGGGCTAAGACTTCCAGAAGTCCAGATCTTTTATCCGGCCATCTCCTGCTGTAGACTTCTCACCGTAGATCCTGAGTCATTTGCGTATCTTTTTTAGCTCTTGGCATCGGTGGCTGGGTCAAGATTTGACAAAGCACCATCCCCCCCTCAGTCCTGGTACCACAATTCGCCTTCAAGAGTTGCAGCTCATGCCTGACCCATCGATCTACGTCTACAGTGGCGGATCGTGTTGAGATCTCGACCTCGTTGTTTCATCTGTCACAACACACTCAGGTTTTGATCTGAAGTAGTTTCGACAGTGAGGTGCATTCAGTTCGGAGCAGCAACCATAGCACTAGATTCACTACTTGCTTCCGTGTCCTCCGTTCACGGGGTAGTCAGGGCATGTGGATGTATACTATGTACTGCACGTACTAACGACGGGTTTTCGATTTCTACGCACGGGCTTCAAAAATGATGAGCTCTAACTTCCAGGAGCTCATCTACGGCTGCACTTTCATCGGGCAGACAAGCAGGGATTGGAGGCGCGGCCGTGGTCTTGAGTACTGTCTTGAGTCGAGTTTCTTCCACACGAGAGCAGCTCGTGGGGCAGGCGCCGGCCAGTGGGCTCGCCCAATGTATTTGATCGTTTCGAGGCGCGGACGCTCTTCGAGACAAGAGTCAGCAAACCAGCTACTGTAACACAGTGCTTGAGTTGCCTGGATGTGTTTGGCAATCGCCGGACCAGGTGAAAACGGAGAAGCCTTCCTACGAAATCGGGGAGACCATACAATTGGAGGCCATCTCATAGTGTCTATCGACGCCTTGCCTTATGCTGCTGAATCGAGACGCTTGACTTGGCCGTGCAAGATGCAAGATGTTCCAATCCCGCTGCTTCTCTCTCACTCGTATGCTTCGCCTCAGTCGAGGCTACGGCTGTGTGCATGCAAGCATGCAGCAGGTTTGGAATCCCTTGGGCGTGAAGTCACGACTTCTCATCTTCTGGGGCGAGCAGCCCGCAGCCCTTAGCTTGGAGGGATGCGGAGATGGTCCTGCCGTGTTTGCGTTATGTACGTGTCCATGGCAACCAGATCATTCAGTATAGCAGGTCAGGTTGAATTTTGGGATTGCAGCGTATGTTTATCCGGATGTTAACTAACCTTGTGAAGGGAGTTGTTACACATTGTTCGAAGGCAAAGTGTCAAGCATCTTTGCCGTGACCCTGACAAGGTCGTCGATGTCGAGAATGTGACTGGCACCCACAAGGTGCTTTTCTCAGCCTGCGCTCACAGGGCAAACCGGTCGCCAGAGCTCGTGCTGGTCGGCGAACGTCGCAATGTGACGGACAGTTTTTTCGAAGATGCAGGGAATTGGAAAGCCACAATTTTAGACCACGGCGGTAAGGCTCATCTGTGCTGCTGAGGTGTCACTTGGTACAGTGATGGATCAGGATTGCCCGATGCGGCTGTGCCAGGCAGGATGTCTTGTGTGATGGCTCCGTAAAGGAAGCATTGAGCAGTGCTGTTGTCTAAGCCTGCCTAAGGCATCCTAAGCCTTCATCCTTCCTGGGAGGCTTACGTCTTTGCAAGCAGCACGGAGGATCCGAGCACCGTCTTGGAGCACGTTCCTCGCTCTATTCACTATCCCAAGGCATTTTTGTGCAAATGTGCAAGCTGAACAGTTTGATTTGCGTTATACGGCTGCAAGCATGTAGAGCTAGGCTCACTAGGTCTCTCCGGTTCTGAGCATTGAGCAGGCTGCGCCAATATGGGCACTTCAAGAGGCGCTTGCAGCCACATCAGTCGTGGAAGCACTCTTTTGTCCGCGGTTGACGTGGAGGTGAAGTTCAACATATCCCGTCCTCACAACTCCCTGAAGGCACCTCTTACTCCTTTCATTGCAAGGCTTGTGTGATGATGTGTGATGCTAGATGACTTTCAGGTTCAGGTGACCGCAGAAGCTGCCAGCACAGCTCCCGGCAGCGACGTTGAGATCGAGGCCAGATCCGATGTTGGAGGTCACTCGGAAAGGTGCAGTACTTGTATCACTAGACTTCTTCACTTGCTTGTCAGGTTCAAGTCGATCAGCGAGGGCAGGCAGAGCTGGCGGTGATGGTGGTCGACAAGGCAGACTGGACGTGAGCCGAAGGTCAGCCCCCCCGCGCGCACGCGCCGGGAGCTCTCAGAGCCCAGGCTTGGCTGGACTTGCGCCCATCCAAGCTGCAGGATCCGTTGAAGGCCCGCCGGGAGATTTATTCCGTGTTCGATGTTTCTTCGCTTTGTCAAAATATGAGTTTGTACCCAAGAAACGTACTCCATGATATGTTTGCGGGTTTCAGTTGGTCTTTTTGGATCCTTGACAACATCTTGCCCGTGCCCCAGCTGACGAGAAACAGGTCGAGAGAAAGCAGCTCTCCTATTACAGAGAGACATCCCGAAGCTCCGCAACACAGCCTTGGGCAGGCCTTTGAGCCCAACGAGATCGAAGCACGGGGGCCAAAGTCGAGACCTCGGCTGCTGATGTCTGACTGGATAACTACATTTTTGTCACGTCCGGCCGGCAAGCCCGGCAGGACGAAGGCTTGACGTAATACATGTTCTAACCTAAAGGATCGCAAGGTTCAAGAGCGGCCGAGGTGGCATGTCGTGACTTCCCTGGATGGCATCTCTTCCGGAGATGCCCTTCAGAAGGCTTTTTCTGGAATGCTTCTGGACTGCCTGTCGCGCTTCTGGACAGATTTGGAAAATGCGCAAAGCCAGGTGTACGAATGCATTCGGACAGTGCAGGGAAGCTGATTGTAGAGTGGAGTCAATTGGTCGTGGGTAGATCGCGGACATTACCAAAGACTATCCTCGAGCAGATCTTGACCAGGCCACCAAGATTGTCCGACAACGACTCGAGGAGAACCCATGGGTGCGATCGGCGAGCATTGTTGCGATCTTTGCAAACGAGCTGAGTTGTTTTGAGCTGGCGAGAGGCAAAGCAAGGGCGACTTTTTTGCGGCCGCAGTCTAAAACGCCAGGTGGGTTTCCTGAGCTGGCCGATATCCTTGCGCCGCACGGACATCTGCCTGGGGAGTCTGTAAAGCGACGTGTGGGCATTCTCGGCGTAGACTTAAAGTAAGACTTAGAGAGCATTAAGTCATTAAGGAGTACTTGATGCGGTAACCCTTAAATGCACCTTAAATGCGATGTATGATTCTGCCCCATGTGGAAGGATCAGTCAGAGCTCGACGTTGATGACTACCTGGAACGGTGGGGACAGGAGTGCAGAAGTTTGCACACGTTGACCCCTTGTATCGGCAAAGTGCGAAGCGGAGCCTGTTGCTTCGAATGCTCGTGCAGTCTGAGTGGCCAGCACGCTGCCTACACTGTGGTCAGGAGTTGACAGAGTTCCCTCATCCCCCTATGGCTGTGGACTTGGAATCGAAAACTGTACGCGGAGTGGCCAAACTGCCCAGACAACGTCTGAACCCATCTCTGACCAATTGCCCAAGTGCGTTTTTTGAGGTTGAAGAGTTCGCCTACAGGAACGCTGGCGGGCCTTTGATGATGGCCATGTCCCGAGAAAGCTGTCCGACCGCAGGAAGAGCAGGCAGAACATCATTCACTTCTGATTTTCTGTGTGCCATCCATCCATCTGTAGATCGACGGTTTGTTGCCAGTGTGCAGCCTTAACTCCAGAAGCGAGTTGATCGTGCACGCTTGAGGCAAAGGGCATGGCGGCGCCGATGGCTCTGATGGAGAGCGCTCCGGTTCCCGCTGCACAGACCTCAGGCATGATCAATCCTGTGATACGTGAAGCCTCGCATGTCGCTCAGGGGGCAAAGGCTGTGGTGGGCGACGATGCGTACGATGCAGAAGCGGCGACGGAAGCTTCGGGGGTCACTGCGGAGGATTGCCCTGGTCACAAAGCTTCTGGAGCACTCATGCATCCTCCTGCACATTCTGCAGGGCACTGGAAAGCAGGTGGTGCTCCGCAAGCGCTTCGTGACAACCCCAGCCGCAGCAGAAGCTGAGAATCCTCGGCATGCGAATTGCTTTGGCTGAGGCCAAGTTGGTGGCCCTCAATCGGGCATTGCTTGTGTGGCCCTCAGATCGGCCGCGGCCACCAAGGGACACACGCCTTCAGACGCCCTATAATGCCATGAGGAGCCCGGCGTGAATTCCTGGAGGACAAGAGTTCGGTCCTATGCCCAGACGACATCAGACGACCGAAGGGGAAACTTGCGGCGCATAGCATCCGGAACGATCTCAGCTCTTCAGGCTACCGCAGGACTTGTCCACGTACGTGATTCGAGTGGTCGCCGTGTCACATGAGGCCCTGAGATGCCATTTTTGAGATCTTGGAGCTCTTGCCATATTGTAGCCAGGAAGGTGGATTGTGGTCCTGGGGCTCGGCCGAGTCCTCCGTGCAGACCTCCCAGCTCGTGCCGACGCCTTGGAGTTGCCAACGAGAGGCTGCTACCGGATGCTACTCAATAATTCGGGCGCAGCTCAGGTATGGAAAGCCACTGCTGCCAAGGGCATCCTTGGCTAGTGATGCCGGATCGTCGCAGAATCTTGCAAAGCTGGAGTTGCCAGATCCTGCGCTTTATGGACGTTTGCCGCATGGGTGTGTCGGTCCAGGCTCGCGAAGTTCACATTGACATCTGCAGTTTTTGCATCGCTCGAGCTTCGTCCTGACGGAGACATCCTGTGAGGCTGTCGACGGTGAATCATCTCGTCCTTTTCTCGTGGAAGCCGTCAAGGTGCAGAACCTTCGACTTCTGGACGAGGCCACCGGAAGCTCAAGTAGCGTGTCATGCAGAAGCCAGAAAGTTGCCCACAGCTTCTGCAAGCCCGCCCAAACACAGCAAAGTCCAGGCATCGCAGATGGTCACGATGACCTCGACATCTGCCGAGGTGGCAGACCAGGGCAGACTGACAGCGTGCCCACGAGGAGCACAGAAAAGCTATGTAACCGGTGGATGGTGGTGGTCAGTAGCTGCACTAGGCTGAAGTGACTCCTCCTAGGCGCAAAAATTCATGCTGCTGCATGTGTGATGCGGCCTGTACAAAGCACGACAGGTCCGCTTCACCTTTGCATCCGACATCTCCGTCGGTCCTGCATATGTTGTCTTCAACATCAAGGCAGCTCGCTAGGATAAAGCAATACTTCGGCAGATAATCATTCTTGACTGCAGATGCTGGACTCTGCTAGACTCATCGCGTTTAATTGGGACACGTTTCCAAGAGCTCGTTGTAGTCGCGATACCGCCTGCCGCACAGGATGCCGAGACAAAGGCCGTCCTAGACTCCGTTGCAGCAAACATCGATGTGGAGGTGCAACAGCAGGCAGGAGCAGATTTTGATGCATTGAAGCATGTGTTGTCAGACAGCATGTGTGCTGGTTGAGCTTCTTGCTGTGCTGTCAGCCAGCCCTCTTGGATGACGCAGCTCCGTCTAGCGAGAGAACTGCGTTTGTGCAGCTTTGAAGACTGTCTGAGGGCTTTCGCATGGCGTCAACCACGACCATCCGGGCCAATCCTTTGCAGGCCCGCTTCGAGTCCACAGGGATCGTACTAGTAGCGAAAGGGAGCGGGGAGAAGGGGCGGCGAGTCTTTGAGTCAAATCCCGCCGCGAGGGCTCGGTGCGCAAGGAGGCCATCGCTCCTTTGAGTGTCGGAGCCTCACGCCTGGTGCCGGCTCGCTTCCCTGGACTGTCGTAACTTTCCGAGGCAGTTCCCGGATCGGGTGACATGTCCTTTTCGGCATCTGTTGGCTTTCAGGCCTGGCCAAACCTCGCAAAGTGTGGCAATCTGCGGTTATCGTCTCTTCAACGCGTCAGGCTCCAATTCTTGCAGCAATACTGGAGGCCAGCAGCTGCAAAGCACGCCGAGTGTCCAAGACAGGAGCTTGAGCCACAACGCTGAGCTTTGCTTGCAACTCCATGCCCTGAGCCCGAGACCTTCAATTCCGGCCATGCGAGAGGGGAAAGAAAGCCGAGACCGTGAAACCGCATGCGACCCCGAAACCTGCTGTTATTCAATAAATCCGAAAGTCTTAATTCACAACATTTCACAACCCTACAGTCCAGGACCTCCAAACCTTCAGCCGCATAGCCCCAATCATCATCCCTCGTGCCTTGTAAATTCTCAAACTCTGCAGCCCTGCTGCAGCATCCGGCAGCCGCAAAGCTCCCAATCCCCAAAGCCTGAAACCTGAAAGTCCTGGGCTTCTTCTGTGCCCTTTCTGATTCACAGTTAGCGCCGCGATCCTACGAGCAGTGGCAGCCACTGGGCGAAGACATCCTGGCATGCAGCTCAGGAAGCCTTAAGATCTTAATGGGATGTGTTGGCCTTCCGCAGATCCAGGACCACTCAGCAGCATGATTTGCAGGCTCTGCTGCTTGGTGGCCTCATCATTCGTGTCGGCTATGGTCTCGAGGCCACGCACGGCTTTCACAAGGGTGCACTGACAGTTTGGGATGCCAGGCGGCACATGAAGGCCTTGCTCGTGCCATATCGGCTGCTGAAGAGAGGCTGCCAAGACAAGCTCGCAGCTCAAGGAGTTAAGTCACACTTTAAGTTGGGCTGCTGAAAAACAAAGGTAGTCCCAGGGCTTGGCCTGGTGAATGCGCCCCCGGAGCAGCGCTCTTGGCGAGCAGGTTTCGAGGGTACACACTATAGGACACGAGCGACGCTTTGCGATGTGATGCGTTTGGGATAGGTGAGCAACCTGATCTGCTCCTGAACAGCCTGGCGCTGCTAACGCTGCGGGCAGCGAGAGCCCGAGACGCGGGGACCGGGGAACGCCACGCCCTTCGGCCCTTCGCGTTCTCCGGTGGGGGGACCCACCTTTGCCAGGCCCAGGCTCTCGGCCTCGTCCCGGGCACCTGGGCCGGCGGCTGAGACTGAGAGCAAAGGCGCTCTCTGCAACTCGCCGCGCAGCGCCCTGGGAGGCGCCTTTGGACGGAGGAGTTCTTCTGGAAGCTGCATTGAAGGCGGCTCCGTACCTCGCACAGTGACCAGTGTATTTGTGCGCATTCATCGTTTGGCCCCCGAATGCTCGCAGGCTGTGGAGAAGCAAAGGAAGGACTGGGCGAGGTCGGGAAGCAAGCTTGAAGATCTCGATGCTCCAAATTCGTGCTCAGGTGTTGCCAGAAAGACATGACGCTGGTCAGCGGAGGGCTCAGCCTCGTGGTGCTTCGCTCACCTTTGTGTGCTTATGAATGGTTGCTTCGAGTTCTGCAGTACTCGGATCTTGAGGCTACATCGGTCAATGGCATTTAGCCATGTTCTTCCTGGCACACCCTCCCGCACAATCCAGGCACATGGCATCACATACCATGTTTTGAGACAAGTGCTTGAGTGCGATGCACCGGCCAGGCAGGATCTTCAGCCTCTGTGGGAGGAGAGGGTTGCGCCAAATGTTGACATAAGTCCCCGGGGCCTCATGTCGCTGTGGGCCCGCGGTCGGTACAGTACTTGTATGAGACGCATGTCATGCCCGAGGTGCGCTTGAGGTGCAACTGTAGCGGCCGCGTGTATGATTTCGCCGTCTGGTGCATTATACTACTGGGTGCATGACCAAAGTCGTCCCGCGCATGCGAAAGGCGTCCCGCTAGGGGCGTCACCTTCGTGAATGCAGCATTTGCGTATGTGTCGGGTCTTGTTGTCTCATTTTTAATCGAGGCGTCCAGTTGCGGAATGTGTTTGCGTTCGGAACACTGGTTGCCTGGTTGTTCGAGCGTCTACATGGGGAATGGCTGATTTTGATGTGCTGAGATGTTATGGGTGCTCCATCGGTTGCTTGTGGAATCGAGCGTCACATGGGGAACGGCTGGCTTTGATGTGCTGTGATGTTATGACTTTGTGTGTATCTCGAGCGTTCGCTTGTGCAATTGAGCGTCTACATTGGGAATTTGGAATGGCTGGTTTTGGTGTGCTCCGATGTTATGGATGATCACTTATGTGTGTCTCGATCGGGTGCTTGTGGAATCAAGCGTCTACATGTGGAACGGCTGGTTTTGATGTGCTGCCATGTTACGTATAGCAAAGGCATCCCGCTAGGGGCGTCACCTTAGTAAGCACTCGTTCTCAGAAAGCGTCTCGGTCACCCTGTTTGGCGCTGGAGATGCACACCTCCCTCCACCTAGTCTCCACCTCAACACACGTGCACGCCGAACATCTACATGATTTGGAGGCTTTTGGGGTGAACACTGCGGGTTACTGTGAAGGGCGTCTACTTGGTAATTCTGATATGTTTCATGCCTCCACACACAGACTTTTGCAGCCATGCCCTGCGCGACGGGTGCATTTCCCTATCCTTGCACATGTTACAAAACGTGACGCCGCAGACGCGTCACCTTGGGGATTCACGTTGTCTGGGGTGCCTTTTGCAGGTCTGGGGTGCCTTTCGCCGATCGACGCGTCACCTTGCAGTGGGGTGCCTTTTGCAGGGGTGGGGCGACTTAGGGCGCTCACCTTGTAGTAATGCAAGCTATCTGTGGTGCCAATGATGCAACTTATGGAAGACGGGCAAATCAGTTGATGTCAATTTGACACGTTGTCAACCTGGCGTACAAACAATATGAGCTTGCAAAACACGATGTAGGACAGGCCAAAAGACGGCTGAGGAGTTTGCATCGATTCTGAACGAAATATAGAAGCGCCTCTGCACATCACCCGGATTCACGGACATTCACGTAAACCTTGCGTCAAGCCGTGCTGAAGGAGCTTCTCCGTGCAGCCATCACTGGTCCCAAAGGCCGGGAAGTTGTGGGGGTACAAGCGTGGCCGAGTTGATGTCGAGACTTCCACGGGGAATGCCGCACTATGACTGGCAAGGCAGTGAGCTTGACATCCTGACACGCATTGCTTGGACCCTAGACGTCCTCCGAGACAAATTCAGCAGCAGGCAGGACTTCAGCATACTTCAGCATTTGTCCGAAGCCGCTCATCAGTTTCAATTTGTGACAGGAGTCAGTTATATCGGAACATTGGAGGGTAAAGAGGCTGGTCGCCAACATCAAAAGTACGATAATGGCAAAGTCCGTCTTCAAGGCTGGAGTCCTGGTGAGCCCTTTTTCGCCTGGGGAGTTCCGCAACAACTGCCGACAATGCATCGCATTGGCAAGCCCTTCTCCGAATGCCATCGAAACGACCTCTCCGGACACTGCGCAAAATTGAGCCAATCTACTACGCGGCGTTGCTAGGAGCCTTCTGCCATGAAAAAGCCCTCAAGATGGAAACGGAAGGGAGGCTGAAGAACCCTTTTCGTGACTCAGGCCTCGGCACAGCTGCGTCGCGGCCTGGTGCCGTCCTTTGGTGCCGACCGTCGCGCCTTTGCCACTGGGCCACGCTTTGTTGGAAGCTAGCTTTGGACGTTGCTTTGTTTCGGACTTTAGAGTCGCAGGGGTCAGGAGACACAAGCAACACCAAGCAGTTGATTCAAGTTGCTAGCTTTAAGCCCCTCAGCAACGAAACTCCCGATCTTCTCAGTTTAGAAACCTGATTCTGAAGATCCTTCAACCTAAAGGCGGGTTGAAGACCGCTATAGGTTTGCCTGAGCTCCAGCAGTGTGATCACAACGTCTACAACTTTGCTGGACGCAAAAGTTTGCTGCAAGCTATATTTCCTGAAGCCTGACATCCTTTTGCTTCTTGCACGCCAAAACCCGGACCAGGGCGAGGTCTTAAGAGGGGTTCGGTGGCTTTCGGGTGCGCATGAGGAAGCATTGTTGCCAAGGCTTGGAAGAAAACAACGGTAGTACTGAAACTGTGGAATGTGAAGCTCAAGCACGTAGAGGATCGCCAGAAGTCATAGACTTTATGCATACTCGAGGCATGGTGGACTAGAGCAGACTACTGACTGCGCCTGAGGTGACCGCAGAAGCCTTGCTGTCTCGAACACGAGTGCGCGCGGGCTCGCGGCCGGATGTCCTTTCAGAATTGCATGCCTTGGGCAGGTACAGGGCCCCACGGCCTACGTTGCTTCAGCAGAAGGCAGACGAAGCCTCAGGGAGAGGGCTGGGTTTGACAGCCATTGTGTCGCTTGTTGGGTGTGAGGCCTTTCCCAGATCAGCAGCACTCGTAGCAACACCATGCAGTGTTCGAGTGCTGCCATGGGCCTTGAAAGTTCACAGTTTCAAGCTGAGGTATGCACTCGGCCAGCCGGTGGATCCAGTCGCTCGCGCTGTGGCTCTGGTCTGGTTTGCCCTCGTATGCACTGCACTCAATATGCAATTTGCAGCGATTGGTTGATATGGCACATTGAATTGGGTGCAAGAATCCTGCTTAAGACTAGGCTCAGAACACCATGGTTCCGCTGGTGGCGACCCAGCTTCTCTCGGCGGCCATGACCTAAGCCACAGCAACTATCAAACTTTGTCGAGTATGGGAGGACTTTGCTGGCAGTGGATCAGGACCGGAGCCCTTGGCAGCGAAGCCTCCCGCCAAGGCCCGCCTACTGATGCCTACTGCAATTTCACAGCTCCTGGATGCCTCTTGTGGTAAGTGGTGCATTGTTGTGTCGTTCGTGCCGGACTGGGCATAGAAACGCAGGCGACCATTGATTGGCTTTGCATGTCCAAGGGCAATTCTGGGGAAGTGCGGGGCATAAACAGGCACCGAGCTTGAATGTTAGTGCCGATGCAAGGACAGGTGCGATTTTTTGCCGACAGATCGGTGTGAAATGACCTGCTTTCCGAAAGCTGTTCCGGTCTCGTCACGATGGGATGGACAGTCAGGAAAACCACTTGCAAAGTCTTGGCACCTCGTCGAGTGACATGCGAGTTGGTAAACTCGGGAAAGACACGGATAACGGCATGATGGTGGTTGACTCAACAATGCACAGAGGTCGGCCAGCAAACCCTCAAACGACAGTCGGAGAGCAAGAAGAAAAGGGTAGCTGGAATCACCGTTGGGCAGAAGGATAGGCAGCATTGAGCACCCCCCGAAAGGCTCGACACGGAGAATCTCTAGGAAGTGACCCGATACCGCCACGCGTGTTGTGAAATCACTGCATTCAAAGCTGCCCTACCAGGGATCTGATCATGGTCTCGGTGAGCTTGCTGGCCTTCGATTCCGCAACAGGTGCAGCTGCATGCTGTACGGAAACATGCTTCAAAGCAGATCGAAACTGGTTCTTCTTGTGCAGGTTCATCGGTCAAGGCTGACATTCCCCTGCAGATCGTGTCGCAATCCAAAACTCTGCTCAATGCTCACTCCTTGGAAAGGTGTGGTGTGTACTTGTCAGGCAGGGGGACTCTGCCAGAGTTCTCAGGTCGAGCTGCGGTCGGCGCCCCCGAAGCTGCTCACCGTTTGGACAGCCTGGCCCTGGAGTGAGCCGATGTCTCAGTGACGCAATCTCCTACTTCTGGCCGTCGCGTTTGTCACCTGATGTTGAGGCTTCCGGACACGCTTCCAAAGCCGAGCCCTCAGGCGGTGACTGGCTGCGGACTGTGGCACATTGGCCCTGTGAATCCTGAGAGAGAGTGATTTGCATGAATTTGTTCGTTAAGAGCACTGAAGCCGAGCTGGGAGGGGTGTTAACTGCAAAATCAGAAGCTTCAACATGATACGGGGTGCCCGTGGCTTCTGCACTGCGGGTTCTCGTCTTTACGTCATCGTCAGATCTCCGGGTGCCTAGAATCTAGAAGACGAGGCTGTAAACCCCGATACCCGAAAAGGAGACTGCCCTGGGGCAGTCTCTCATCCCCACCAACAATTTATTTCGTAAGAAGGACCAGGAGCATCGTTTCTTTTTGCAAACCCGAACCCATCAAAACCGCAAAGCCTAAGACCGATAAGCCCAGCTGAAAGCCCCGGACACCTGACTATGAAAGGCTCACCACTAAAACCGACCGTAACGGCGACACCTGCATGCGCAAACCACATACCGTACAAAAGACTGAAACCGGAGCGCAGTCTCGAAAGCTCAGGTCGGAAGCCCACAAACCCTGCCCTAACCCAGAAAGGTTCACATAAAGCCATGGGCAGCAAACTCCAGACCCGGCCCGAAACCGAACCCGCTAAACCTACCGGAACATCCTCGTTCCCCCACTCGTCAACCTTAACACTGCCACGTTTGCAACCCCGAGGGAACAAGATGGTTTTTGTTCCAGACTGTTGAAAGGACTAAGCAGAACGATGCACGCGACGCCATTACAAAGACACACGTGACACCATAGCACGTTAACCAAGAAATGCTGTTGCAGTCCATCTACAGGGTCCGCAATGTCTATGATAAAGGACTGCTAGACTGCAACCCCAAACCCGTAGGACTGTCGTCCCCCTGTTTGAAGTGCTAGTTCAGCATACCTCAACTTCTTCTAGCGGTGCACATGCCCAGAGACCTGTCAGAACTCAGGAGTGGCATGGACCTGGAGATCCAGGTCGGTGCAGGAAGCGGCCTTGCAATTGTGAGCCATGCCGGCACTTTTTTCCAACTCGGCACGTGAGCAGTGAAACAGCAGTTATCCAGAAATGAATTCGGGGCTGTGCTTTCCACAATGGGGGTGGCCAGGCTATGCAATGGACCTCATACCGGTGAAGCCATTTCTGGAACCCCAGTTCAAAGGCCGGAAATCCTGGAGATGGGTCTTGATGGGTCTTGCGGGTGTCTCATCTAAAATAGAAATCGATATGTAAGTGACAAATGACAAGACTGCGACGACGCAAAGGCTCGACTCAATGCGAATGCCGCGACGCTTTGTGTGAGGATGTGTACATAGGTGGCTTTATAGCGCGGGGGCACTGTTTTTAAATGCTGTCACTTAGACCTACACCGGGATGCAAACGACGAATGTGTCCAATGTTCAAGTCTCCCAAGCAGATTCGAGCATTGGAACACATGGTGACTCAATTGAGCTTTTGAGAGGGATACCGGGATACCTGTAAAATCAAGCCCCAGGCGGAGCGTGCTTCCTTTTTGACAGATGCAAACGTCCTGCAAGTAATGTGAAGCACAGGCATCATGGTGCAAAAGATTGTCCAGAAGTTGGACGCGCTACTTGGCATAGTTGGATCTGAAGTTCACGGTTCTAAGATGTAGAACCGTGATGAGTAGCATGACTGCATGTCGACCAAGTCGTGGCCACTGCCATGGACCGGCAGTTCACATCGCCAAGCCCGGGCAGTTGCTGTGCGTCGTGCCCTCGGTGTGGGAAAGCATCATGTTGTACATGACTGAGACATGCCACCGCACAGAGCAAAGATCGAATGTATGAAAGCACGTGTTGCGAGGTCACCATCCAGATAACCTCCCCAGATGATCTGGATGAGGTTGAGGCCAAGCCGCATGCTATCCAGAGTAAGTCCTTACCGCGACAAGGCTTGCAGACACACAGACAGGCTTTCTGACCACAACGACAAGCTATTTTCTTACACTGATAAGGGTTTGGGGTCAACCCTGGCAGTGCGTAGCCGTGGAGGCTTGGCTATCGTATACAGTGCATGATTCCATGAGCAGCTTGCAGACGACATGATTCGCAAATCTTGTCCGAATTGGCATTGATTGACAGCGCCTGCCATGTACGGGCAGGGACATCAATAATAAGTTAGATCTGCGACTTTCTGCCTGCCCTCGAAATGGTTTAGAGCAAATATTGCGGCAAGGTTTTTTGGGTTTCGAGCTTTTGATGAGTTTTAGGCTCTTTAGGCTCTGAAAATCGCAAAAAAGTGACTCCCGCAAGTCCCTCCTCCGTTTCTCCCGCCACATGCGGGGGAGTTACCATTCTGGGGGTTATGGGCTGTGAAAATCGCAAAATGGCGACTCCCACGCATCCCTCTCTCTCTTCTCTCCCGCCACACGTGTGGGAGCCACCATTTTGGGGTTTTTGGGCTGTGAAAATCGCAAAATCACGATTCCCGCTCGTCCTGCCCCCCCAGTTCTCTCGCCACGCGGGGGAGTTTCCATTTTGGGGGGGGAGACTCCCGCGTCCCTGCCCCCCCGCTCTCCCGCCACACGTGGGGGAGTTACCCTCGATCTCCCGCCACACGCGCGGGAGTTACCATTTTGGAGTTTTTGGGCTGCGAAAATCGCAAAATGGCGACTCCCGCGCGTCCGTGCGGCCCCCTTGTCCCGCCACACGCGGGGGAGTTACCATTTTGAGGTTTTTGGGCTCTCAAATTAGCAAAATGGTAACTCGGGTGCCAAAAGCACCCGGAGGGTTCTTGGGGATGGATTTTGGAGCTTGAGGGTCCGTGGTAGTGCCTTGCTATTCTGCATCTTATTTGATTCAATATGGAAAGGAATGATCCTCTAGATGATTTTCCCATGCAGTTTAAACAACATCCTGTAAGTCCTACTCCTAGTCAGTCCTAGTATGTCCTAGTCATTTCTCTGCGATCACGAACACTCCTTTTCCTGACCCGAACCCCAGAAATCAACAGCAGCTTTTGGCATGCTGCGAAAAGCAGGTGCCTGTGGATGGGCTTTTGTAGCAGCAGCAGCAGAAGCAGCAGCAGCAGCTGTAGCGGCAGCAATACCGGTGCTGATGCTGCTGATGTGTCTTGCTGCTGCTGCTGCTGAAACCTTGTCGTGGTGAGGTTTTGATGCCTTGTCGTGGTGAGGTTTGCAATGCGCTGGCGTGGTGAAGTTGTTTTTTTGTTGTGGTCTCGATATTGCTTGTTATGGTGTGGAGTCTATTTCTCTGTCATGGTAACAACGCGCTCTCTCGAGCTATCTCTTGTGAGTGTACAGACATCGATGACCAGGATGAGTACACACCGCGAAAAGTATGCTCGAGAGAGGGCTGCCCCTAGGAGCAGCATGCAGCTTCAAGTTTTGCAGTGCTTGCGAGGTTGTCGACCTCGTCCCGGCCGGTCTGGAACCCTTGGACGAAGCCTTAGCGGCTGCAGCCGCCGTGGCAGGCGAAGAGAATGCAGGCACGCTGCATGATCTAGCACATCCATTGAAATTGTCATCCAGTTGCACTGATCCGCCGTACAGAAACTCAGGGGCTGATGGATTTGCGGGTTGTCAGCACAAGACTTCCAGAATGGAAAGCGCGAGCACGAGTTTTGGAGGCGACAACAGTGCCTTCGTGTGGGGCTTGCTCTTGGGCCGGCCTGATGCTCAGTGGAAAATCCTTCGGCAGAGTTCTCGGAGTTCGGTCTCCGTCCGCGCGCCAGCTCCTGGAAGCGGACGGTGCGGAGAGACGTTGTGCGCTGGTGTCAACCTCAGTGAAAGTGGATGTCAACTGTTGCCAGAGCACGTCCTGAATGAGGGCAAAGAGCACTCTTTGCACGGAAGTTGCTTGCTGCAATCAGAGGCGAAGCGCATACATGTGGGCCGGAGGCTGAGACCTGTGTTGTGCTTGTAGGCCTTGAACCCGCACGGTTCTCTACTTGAGTGGTTTCCAAACGGCTGCCGTATTAAGAGTATAGTACTATATTGGGTTCCCCAAAACTGACCATGATTTTGACACTTTCCCACTTGAGCAAGTTGCGTGCGCCCTTTAGCTAGGCATGCACAGGCAAGGTCATAAGCTTAATTAGGCAGACTGCGCAGTTTGATCGATTGCAATTCGCACTTGCTGATTTGCCCAGGGTGGCACGCATACCCTATCCTTCAACTGCATCGCAAATGTTGGCTTCTCAGTTGGTTCCCGCGTGTCAAGCGTGCCTCGCAACTATGTCACCGTTTTCAGTTTAGCGCAGTCCGGCGCGGCCTAGGCGCCAGGCGTCTACTCGCTTCCTTCGGCCAGAGCGCATTCGGTGAAATTTCCGGAGGCAGCTTGACTTGTGCACGGGTTGATTCTCAAGTTAGTCACCGTTCATCCTGTCAGAGACCTTCTGCAGTCGTGCCAAGCGTGGTGCTTTGTATGTCGTCCGATTTCCAGCTCAAAGTCTCCGGATTGGAACGCCCGCGCGAGGTTATGGGCTTCAGTGGCGCTGCCTCATTCCTGGTCGAGGATTCTTTGTGCAGGCTGCCGCTGCCGTTTCCTAACGGGAGCGTGTCCGGATTTGGAGGACACGGCAGAGAGTCCAAATGCAGTGCTTGGGCCTCGGCCTGGTCTGAGTCCTTGCCTTCGCTACGTGGAGAAGTAGCTTGCCAGGTCTGCCCCAATGCTGCAGCAATTTCGGCGCAACGTGGGTGCCGCCTTTCAGGCGGCGAGGTAGTGAATCGATAAGTTTCGGCCCGCTCAAGTTTCAGTTTCGGCCGCGGTGAGCAAACGAGCAGCAATTCATCAAGGTCTTGCAGCATTCTGTGCCGCACAGGTGGACCTGGGATTGCTGGGCGCTTCTTCTGAGGGAGTCGCATCTATGTTGCCCGTGGCATGTCCACAGGCCGGCAAAGTGGTCACACAGACAGTGGTCAAAAAGCGTCGCGAAGCTTCTATGACTGTTTTTTGTGAGTTGTCTTGCGACGAAAAAGGCCTGCCCTGCAGCTGGCAGCTGCAACTTGGCAAAGGGCATTTGCGAATGTGCCCGGGTCACCCAGAGTTAGCCTTGCAGACAGAGACACCCACAGCGCCAAACGTAGCAGAAGCACCTTCTAAGGCTTCCTCCTCTGGGGACCTCCTTCCGTGCGAGGATATTTCCACACAGGCCGGATTCTTGGAGCTTTGCCAGAGCCTCGCCGTCTGTGGCTTTGGAAGGAGCCTGGGCCTGTCCCCACTCAGAAGCCTTGGAGACACCAGGACCGTTGAGCAAACATTCTGTGCTCCATGTCCCCTCCCAGCGCAGACTCAGGAGCCGCGTGTGCCACATCTACCCGGAGGCCACGTAGAGGCTTGACTTCCTCTCAACGCCGAGCCAAGCAGAGTCGAGCACGTGGCAGACTCACCAAAATGCGAGGACCCGGAAGCCTTGGATGCTTCCCACTCCCAAACAGTGGTGTTTGTGCTGCTCCTCGCAGCGCTCTTAGTTGGAATGGTCACTGCATGTCACTGCTATGCCTTCAGACGGATGCCACACCTTGGAACATTGCGGGGTAACCAGTCTGACAGGCGACAGCCGAGTGGAGCCGAAAGGTAGATCACCTGCAGCGGGTGCCTTTGAGGCCGTTGTGGCGGCCGGCATCTATTCCTACATCGCGAGAACGAAGACTCCCAGGCCTAGTCGCAAGGAAGTCCCCACCACGATCTCTGATTTTCGTAACCCGAGGGGATGTTTTGAGAACGCTTTGGGCCAGGAACTTTGCACCGCCAGACATGGAGTTGAGCTCCGGCCTCGGCTCGCAAGCCAGTTTTGGAGCAATGAATATTGCTCCCAACATACTGTAAATTAAGATTGCAGCAGATACTATAGTAGGCCTATGGTAGGCACTGCTGTGCTTGATGCAAGAAAGCTATCGTGCCCCCGCCTCTCCACTTTTCACCTTGTCAGGTTCAGAGCCGTTCGCAGCCTTGGATGAGGTGCCTGTCTTGGCATCCCACCTTTGCCAAGTGTGAACCTAACTAGAAGCAGTCGATGCAGTCCAGAATCTCAGAACAAACACCTCAGAGCTCAGGAACGGAAAGCACTAAGCAAGCTAGCGAATCGGAGGAGATGACGGCAAACGCTCGATCACCTTTAACTGTTGAAGAGCGTGGCTCTCAGACTCCAGAAGTCCAGAAACGTTTGCTTGATTCGTTTATCGTCGCTTGCCATCCATCTGCTTCCTGCTGGCCGCAGGGGTCCCCGGCAACATCTCGGTGGAGCTGGCGCCCTCGCAGCAACCGAGGCCAAGATCTCGCAGAGCTCGTGTCGAAGATGTATGAAGATTTTGGACCCTAGATAAGCCTTATACGTTTGTCACGGTGGCGACATTGTCAGCGCCTACAGGGACTACAAAACGAAGACGACAGACAGGTCGCACGGTGACCGGGTGTCTGTGCGTGTGTGGGGGTCTGGCAGGCAGCAGAGTGAGACAGCCAGGAGCCGCGTGTACAGGATGCGATGATCGCCTGGCTGAAGATCGTTTAGTAAGACATCGTGGTTGATCTGCAGCCTCGGAGAAATGTTTCGAAAAAAGTTCTGGAGAGCTTGCATATGTTTGAGTGCTTGTTCTGATGTGGCTATCGTTTCTATTTCAGTGCGCTTAATATGTCGTCGCGGTCGATATAATCGTGATCCTTGCACTTACCATGCTTCGCGGAATCTTGAATAACAAATTCTCATCTAATGATGGGGTGATGTATATGTATGGTCACCCCCCCCTTGACAGACCATGCCCTTTCAACTCAGTCGTAGTGCATGGTCTGTGATCGGGGGGAGGATACTCAGCTTTCAAAAACTCAATTCTAAAATTTCCAAATTTTTCTCCCCTAACTTTTCAGATTTCCCAAATTTCCATAATTTCTAAAATTTCAAAAATTCCGGAAATTTTGAAAAATTCCGAAATTTCGAAAAGTTCCAAAAAATTAGCCTTTATGTTTTGAAAAAAAATATCTACTAGGTCGGGCCATTTTCGAAATTTTAGAAATTTTGAACTCTTGGGTATTTTGGAATCTCTGGACCTTGGAATTGATTTTTAGGAAGATTGATTATGATTCATCTGATGATAGATTATGGATTACGACTTATTTGTAAAGGCAAGGGTTGTCACTATTCATGCCCATATTTAGATGAATATTTCTTTATCTATATATCTATTTATATATATATTGATATGGTTACATATAGCAATTCTTGATATTGATATTGATTATTTATTGAATGCTCAAATTAATACTAGTATTGCTACTAATAGTATACTTCTATAAAGTTTAGCACGAATATGCGTAATGCAAATATTAATATTAATTAATATTATTATTAGTACTCCTACGTATATTGAAATTATTTTCATATTGATAATAGTCTATATTAATATTAATATTAATATATACCTGTATATATTAATATATGTAAAAAAATATACCACTATATTAAGATATAATCTCTTTCTTTCATTCATACATTTAAGTGTTAGAATTTCACGTGATTAAGAGTAGTAATAATATAAATATTCTTGCGAATATAGATCATCAATAATATTATAGTATTATCGCTAATATGACTGCTAATATTTAATACAAAATATATATTAATATCAATATGTATATAGCTATTGATACTCCTACGAATACATAAACCCTTGTGCGTTAATAGTAATGCTATCACTAACACTAATACGGATTTTGATAATCCATGCCCCCTTTTTTTTTTTGTTTGGTTTTGAATTGTTGTGATTGTGAATGTTTTGTTTTTGTTTGTTTGAATTATTGCAAGAATCCCACTACTATTACTAGGCAAAAAATCAAGAAATAATAGAATATACAAAATATAAAATCAATAAAAAAAAAAATTGATAATAATAACTGAATAAATATAAAAAAATAAAATTCAAGAAATAATTAAAAACTAAAAAAATTGAAAATAAAACTTCAATTAACAATTAAAATAATTATAATAATAAAAAAATATTTATTCCATAAGTACCCAGGGCCACTTCTTATGGTTCACGACACCTCATGCCTGGATACTAACATTAAGCGATAAGAGCCTCCGAGCCTTTAGTTAAACCCGAATCCCTAAACCCCTAAACCCTAAAACCTGAACCCTAAACCCCCAAGCCCGTGCCCTCCCCAACCCGGGAAACCAAACGAGGGGGGGGGGGGTGCGTGGGCGAGCTCAAGTCAGGCCATACGGTTGATGATTTTGGGGCTTTAGGGGGTTTAGGGTTTTAGGATTTAGGGTTTAGGGTGATATACATCCTGCATGACCTTACCCTATGCATCTAAGGACTCATATATTAAGGCTTTTGGGCCCAAAGACCATATTATATGAGGCTTTCGGCCTATTTTGATGCCCAGGGTTAAGTTCCCTAAGCTGTTGGAATTATGGCATTTCCTTTTTGTGGGTATTGCAGGAATTATATTCCGAACCCTATAAACCCTAAAACCTCTAGAGCTCCCTTTAAAGGAACCGCTTAAAGGTACCCTTATAGATCCCTTTATCATCAGATACATGGATCCTAGCTGTGCTTAGTGTCACAGGGTTTAGGGTTGCGTACCCCCGAAGCTGCAACACATCAGTAAACCTTGATTACTAAACCCTAATAGAGGGGCCTCAATGATTGCCTATACTATTTTGGGGGTTCTTTATTATGATTCTAGGATGCCCAGTAGTACCCTTATTCCCTTTTTGTAGTCCTAGGTTCCTTATAAAGTTACCCAATACCAAAAAGAGAGGCCTTTTTATTCTTAGATTACTGGGCATCCTAGGATTATAGCATAAACGGTATCCATTACTAAACCCTGAACTGTGCAGAGGAGATCGCCGGCTCGGCCGGCCATTTTCATCAACCCATCTTCGTCCGGTGCTGAGCAGGGCAGGGATGCCCAGACCTTCCAAAATCCCTTAATTAAGGAACATACCTTAAATAAAAATAGGATCCCTAATATGAAATAAGGTATATTCCTTAATTAAGGGATTTTGGAAGGTCTGGGTGGTTCGGCAGTCCGGAGTAAGCACATGCAATACCCGACAACATACGGTCACAAGACGATCCTAAACATAGAAGACCATAAAAGTCTAAATCTTGTCGTGCAGGCAAGACAGAAGGGAATGCAGTGAAAAGGGTCATCATCAGTTCTACCAGCACCTTAACATCTTCCTGCGCCTCCTAGCACAGACCCTAAACCCTAAACTTTCATCTATAATCTGAACCCTAGTCACATAGGGAGTCTACCCTAAATCCTAAAGTCCTAAATCCAAGCCAGGTAAACACCCTAAACCAAAGAGGCTGATGTGGCCTAGGACCATGCAGACGCTTTAACGGGTTGAGGGCTTAGGATTTAGGGGCATTTGAGGTTACTGGCTTAGGGGCTAGGGTTGAGGATTTGGGATTTAGGTATTGGTTTTAACTCTAGACTCTGTCAAACGCCAAACCGTAAAGGATTTAGGTACTGGTTTAAAACCCTAGACCTTGAACACTATATACCCTAAACCCCAAACCCAACCCTAGACCCTGAAACCTAAACCCTAAACCCAACCCTTAACCCCTGAACACTTAAACCCATAGCAAAGAGCTTGAGAAGCTCCAAAGAAAGCCGCGGCTCGAAGCCCTCGGATTTTAGGGTTTAGGGCTTACCCAGACCTTCCAAAATCCCTTAATTAAGGCGCGCGCGCGCGCGTAAAAAAAAACACCCTGAAGACAAAACCTACAGAGGAGCGGCCGAGGGAAGTGTACAAAAGTGTGGCAGGCGCAGCAAAATCGCACGTTTTGACCTTCCCCAGCGGTATTGTGGCAGAAGCAAAAACGGGACACGATTTCGTGTCCAGTTTTCTGGGCGCCCTAGGCGACCATCAGTGCTATCATCATCGATGTCAACATCGCTATCATCCTCACAGCCACCATCGATATCACCATCATCTTCATCATTCTCATCATCATCGTTATCATCATCGTCATCAATGTGTTGAGCAGTGAGCTTTTTGTGTGCTGGGAAAAGCCGGCCTGAATTTATTCTCCGGACCTGGGCTGCAAAGCTAGTCTTACGGCAGAAGGCGAAAACACTGGTGGGGCCGATGACTTTGAAGGTCGCGGCAAGTTTGTTGAGGTTTGTGGGTGGAAAAGGTATGGGGCAAAAGGTCTTTGCACAGTCACCTTTGCCAGATCGCTAGGTCATCATCATTGCTACCACGATTGTTATCATCATCGTCATCATCATCGTTATCATCATCGCCATCGCCATCGATATCATCGTGACCATCGTAATTTTCATCATCATCGTTGTCTTCCTCGTCGTCAACATTTCGAGCGGTGTTTTTTTTTAGGCGCGCAAGCCTTAATTAAGGAATATACCTTAAATTATTATAGGATCCCTAATATGAACTAAGGTATATTCCTTAATTAAGGGATTTTGGAAGGTCTGGGTAGGGTTTAGGGCTTAGGGCTGAGGATTACGGCTTAGGGTTTAGGGCTTAGGGTTTATGCATGCGGTCTCTCACTTAGGGTTTAGGGTTTAGGGTATAGTGCGTAGGGTTTAGGGCTTAGGGTTTAGGGCTGAGGGTTTAGGGTTGAGGGCTGAGGGTTTAGGGTCTGGGGTTTAGGGTTTAGTACATTGGGGGTTATGTTCATCTGGAAGTCTAAGGTTGCCTTACGGATTCCTTCAAGAGTTCGATTACCTTTTGCTTTGTACGGATCTGCTGGATTGTGTAATGGCCTGTATTGGGCTTTGATTAGCAATTTTAATAGGGTTGTACAACGGTGTTTGGGCGTGTTCTTAACATTGTGGTTCTTCTTTTCGGTGGGTCCTCGTGTCCTTGTCATCGTAATAGTCCACACTACGGTCTCCCATTTTCGGATACCCCAATGTCACAGCCCGGGAGCCATAATCTAAAGACCCAAACTGCTAGTGTGTTTGATGGATGGAATATATCTATGCATGCCTGTATGTATGTTCTGTTTTTTTTGACCCATGCTAGGACTCCAGAAACAGTCATCATGTGTTGTAACGTCCTTGTGACAGGACGTCGGGATCAGATGCCATGTGTTGTTTTATACCAGGCCCACTGCCGTACGTGATATCTTTCCCAGTTCTGACTGGGCGATTTCAGGTATTACTTTAATTATAGGGTTCTTGGAAGGTCTGGGGCCATCCTAGATTGCATTGCGCGGCGCTTTAGGGTTTAGTGGGTTTAGGGTTTGGGGTTTAGGGCTATACGAACCCAAAACAACCTCATATTCAGAAACGA